TTCGATCCACGGACCTCTGGGTTATGGGCCCAGCACGCTTCCGCTGCGCCACTCTGCTCCATATGAAGTAAGGAAGAGTATAGGAAGGTATTGGAAGGTGTAGGCAGGTGGAGTAAGGTCATGCATGAGAAGTTGAGTGGGGAAGGGGATGGGAGGGAGTGAGAGCTTGCGTGTGCTCCTTCGGTATTGCATCACCCCGGCTGCATGGCCGCTCGATGACCGACGGTCCAACGACTGGATTCAACGCATAGGGTGGAATTCGCACATCATCCATGCGAATTGAGAATTTAAATATCTACCTGTGCATTAAAGTACGAAACTGGGTCATGGTCGAGGCTTTCGAATAATACCACTGGCATCAACCAAAGAGAATTCCAAATGACAAGTTGAATGTTGATACTCCACAACTTTAAAGCTCATAGTTCCGCATTCGGAGTGGGTGAAAGAGCGACATCCTTTTCCTTACTAATGAAAATCCGTTCATCAGTCTAGGAGTTTTCTGAAATGACAAATTAACTTTTTATCGACATGGAATGTAACGAAAAGGGGCCAAAGTGATTCAGGAGAGATTTCATAAGAAAAATGTATAGACCATGTGACACTTCCAAAATTGGGTGGGTTTCCGTGCAAATCGAGTCGAACTTTTCCATCAAGAGACCCAAGATATGGCTGTAATTACACTTTGTAAAACTAGGTGGCGAAAACATCTCGAGCCATTGAAATATAGGGATTGGGGAAAACAACGATAATTTAGCATCACGATCGGTGAAAGGAAAAGTATAAAACTGGAACTGTAGCAGAGCGTGGTTTCGATCCACGGACCTCTGGGTTATGGGCCCAGCACGCTTCCACTGCGCCACTCTGCTCCTCTTGGTGAAAATGGATTTTAACGATGGTGAAGGGAGATAAGGAAAAAATCCAGAGGGGAAGGATGGAGTAAGCGTACCACATGGTGCATCATCCAGGTAGCATAGCTGCTCTTGAGCATGCAGAGTATTCCAGCGATGTCAAGCGCCCGTTTCATACTAGATTGAATTCAGTTTCGTGGTTGGAATTATCCGTGAAAATAAATCCAATCCTCCACGTCTGGCAGCTTGCCTCGCCTTCAATTAAAAGTGGACCGAGAAACTTCCTTCCATAAGGATTACGACGAAATGGTTCTCATGAATATCTAAAACAAAGCAAATAAGAGTTGCCTTGACTGCCCCTGCCCCGCCCGGATCCACCACTGCGCGTGTATGCGGGAAGATGAATTAAATATCGCGTTGCTTCGAATCCGAATCCGAGCATCACCACTAGAAACAAATTATGAGGATTGTCCGGTGTGAATTTGTCTATTTAAGTGGTGGAGGGGTCGTACCAACGGCCACACCATGCTGAACGTACCGGATTTCGTCATTTCACTGAAGTTAAGCCGCATTGGTTTCGATTAATATTCGAATGGGAGACCGTATGGGTAAATCGAGTCCCGTTCTTCGAGGGAGTGGACGTGGGAACGGGGTGCGAGTTGGGCCGTGCAGGGCGAGATTCGGATCTGAGTCGGTCCTGGAGGTGGAAAAAGGAGGTTGGCGAGAAAACCGCGAGAGAAGGCCAGAATTTACCCGCCTGAATGTAAAAACATCCAGACATATACATGTAACTGACCCTCATTAACTGTATCTTCGTCTTGAACGTATACTTGAGCGCGATTCGGGAAGAAAGTCTGCTGTTAAAGAAAGTATGCTGTCTGCGCTATGCACAATGTCCTTCCTAGGAATAGGATAGCTCCTTTCAGAAAACCCAACCTTTCTTGCAGATCGTTTTTAAGAGATTCACTTAAATTGATGACATATATCATTAGGAAGAGAAAAAAACTGGTGTGTTGATATTCAGTTTTTCCAGTGGTCTTTATCTGGTGAAGTGGGAGGATGACCAGGCGCTTACAATGTAGGTAGAGTCCTTCATTCATTTTTTATTCAAATTTCCCTTAAATAATTCTTCATTGACTTGATTAGACAATAGTTATTACGATTAAATTTTAAACATGTGTTAAGAGCAAATTTTTGTACGTGAACTATATTCAGGGAAATAGCTCAAGCGAGAGCAAGGATATACATGCTAAATGTCGTCGGTCTTTTATATGCCCTATATTTTACATTCCTGTGTTATTGGGCATGGGGAGGTGGAGGATATGGATGTAGGGCGCGTATCTCGTATGGGTTGTCATCATTAACTCGGAGAATGAAAGGGATAAAAGTATGAGGCTTTCTTGATATATGAAAAATATGAGGTAACTTTGCAGATGAACACGACTTTGTGAGATGATCTTGAAAATGTTTTACTAGTGATTAGAGGTTAAAAAGAGATTGCTTTGATAGCAGAGCGTGGTTTCGATCCACGGACCTCTGGGTTATGGGCCCAGCACGCTTCCACTGCGCCACTCTGCTCCCAAGAACAGAGTCACGACGGCAAAGAGAGGTATAGGAAGGTGAAGGTGGGTGGAGGACATTCATGGGAAGCTGGGCGGGGAAGGTGAGGGGGGAGAGAGAGCCTGTTTGTACGCCTTCGGTATTGCATCATCCCCCCTCTATGGTCCGCTTGAAGACCTGAAGAAGTCTACCTCATTGATTCAGCGCATAGGGTGGTATTCGCTCATCATCAGTAGGAACGGAGAATTAAAATACGAAACTTCGTCACAGTCGTGGCTTTCGAATATTGGCAATAGCATTAATCAGAGAGAATTCCAAATGATACTTTGCATGTTGGTCCCCAACTGTAAAGCCCCCTGCTTGGCATTGAAGCTGGGGGGTGAAATTCTCCAGAGGACATCCCCTTTTTTTCTGACAGTGGATTCAATTTGCGATATTGTTTCCATCGTTGTATGGGATTCGAGAACTCGGCATCCCTGTGATGAGCAATAAATTACTTTTCACAGGCCAGTGAAAGCAGCGACACATGAAGAGGATTCACATTCTGGGAGGACTGAACTGCCTTCAACCTTTTTCCCGCTGATATCAAAAACCCCAGATCCTCAAACAATTCGGACGTGGTAACAGTTTAGATAGAGAACGAACATCATCCCTTTCAAACCATTCTGGAAACGTGAAATGATTCGCTCAAAAATAAAGTACAGTGAAAAAGGCCAGAAAAAGATTCATTTGGGGACTTCTCTAGAAAGCTGGGTGGTTTTTGTCATGGCTTCCACCAGGGCAGATGCGAAAACAGAGGATTTGCTCTCATCACTGCACTCCAATCCAGCCCTTTCAGGCCTGGGGCTAAGGAGTCCCGCATTTTATACTCTTACGCTATAGAGCTGCCTAGGAATGCACGGCCTTGAGGCCATAGCAGGATTCTGAGTCCCAGTTCATCGCATGTTAAATTGACAGCATTCCTCAGTAATACAAGCGCAGTAATACATTATTAATTTCCTCTGGCACTTCAAAAAAGGAGGTTGTCTGTTACATTCATTTCATCTACGACTTTTCTTTCCCAACCAACTTTTTTCCTGTTTTTGCAAACTATATAATGGAAAGTGGTACAGAAATGCTGGGAAACATATGACGAAAGATAGGGGTACGAGTACTAGCTGATAGAATTAAATAGCATGAGTTCATGAATTTATTAAATAATTAAAAAGATATTAAATTTACTTTTGGAAACCATTTTAAATGCACTTTGTAACTTGCCCTCGTGGAACTCAAAAAATTGGTTACATTTTCCCATGCTTTGAACACTCAGAGTCATAATTACTCCTGAGCTACGAACCCTCCTGATCACTTTCCGAAAGAGCAGAGTGTCTTTTTTTGCGACACATTATTATACCCATTACATTGCAAAAAGAAGCACTGGGTAGAGGAAAAGCGTGGTTTCCATCCACAGACCTCTGGGTTATGGGCCCAGCATACTTCCATAAAGCCATTCCGCTCTGTGCAGGCTTATCCCTCGATGGGGAGGTGAAGGCTGGTGGAGCGTGGATTCCTACGGGAAGTTGGGCGGGTAAGGAGAGAGATAGCCTGCGTATGCGCCTTCCGTACTGCATCACCCTGGCTCCATGGCCGCTGGAAGACCGACAGTCTACCTCGTGGATCATATATATGGTCAACCATAGGGTGGTATTCGCTCATCAGTACGAATTGAGAATTGTATCATTAATAATAGGATATTTGGTCATGGTCTTGGTTTTCGAGTGCTCGCGCAATCAGAGAAAATACCAAATGATGCGTAGATAGGAGAGGCCCCACGTCAGCCTTAGGTGTAAAGCCCCTTTTTCTTCTCTGATTCAATTCGCGAAATTGAATCAGAGAAGGAAATGTGAGAATCAGAGAAGGGAAATTGAATCAGAGAAGGGAATCAAGTGAGAACATGCATGGAAAAATAAAATTCCTAATAAAGGTACCTTACTAAAAAAGTTAAGAGGTCTTGGATTTGAATATTTTCATATTTGCTTATTGATCCTGCCAGTCCATGGCAACGGGAAGGGATGCCGTCAATGCTTTCTTGACACAAGTGAAAATAAATCGAGAAACACTGTTAGAAACTTTTCAACATGTGAATGGGCGAAAGGTATGTATGTACAAGTAAGAGTATGGTTGACGTAGAGGACCCAGCTCTCATCTCCAGTAACGATTTCCTTCAGAAAGTCCTTTCTGTGCGGACGAAGGCGCAGTGATTCGCAGACATTGACACGGCTTGCTTTGTCAGAGTCGCTGAACCGATGAGGGACCCATGTCGAGTAAACCTTCCGATAGCCGAGGTCGTTTAGATGGTTGCCGATGGCCATAGGGGTGACTCCAAGTGTAATCGCCAATTCGAGAGTATTGGTATTCGGCTTCGCGTTGAGGGCGTTCCGCAGGGCTTCGTCATGGACTGTAGATGGACGTCCTGAGCGTGGTCGATCTCCGAAGGTCGTGTCGTCAGATACCAAGCGTTAGCGTCAGATACCAAGCGTTAGCGTCAGATACCAAGCGTTAGCGTCAGATACCAAGCGTTAGCGTCAGATACCAAGCGTTAGCGTCAGATACCAAGCGTTAGCGTCAGATACCAAGCGTACAAGACGTTGCCCTTGTAGCGCAGATGCTGTTCGCGGTGGCTCTCGCAGTGTCCTTGGAGGAACTCGTAGTAGACGATGGGGCGAAGAGTTGCTCGTTCGATCGGAGTCATGGCCGCCAACTAATGGCAGAAGCCGCCGAGGGCAGAACCTTCGAGAACATTCTAGCATGTACAAATGCAAAGCATGTACAAATTCTTATATTACTTGTATTGCATTATATTTCCCCCCCCCCCAAGCCGGGGAGAATTATGACCGGCAAGAGGACAATGGCATCTCTTCCTGCATGGTGAATCCGACGTAACCAAAAGGACAGTTACGTGCAGATCGAAGTTGCGCGAAGGCCACGAGATGGGACGTCACTCTGGGGGAATAATTCAGGTTCATCCAAGATGGCCGTGGGTGCATTCCATGACTTTCCACGTCCAGATAAAGATTGGGACAGGGAAGATACATGAAACCATCAGTTTCAATTAGTCCAATTCCCCGCATCCGTGAGCTGGAACACCACCTTTGGTAAAGATCGAAAAAATGTAAAAATGAAAAAAATGTAGTCAATCTGGCTTTTATGGTGTTCCTCTGGTTCTATTCGGGTTTCTGTATACTTCATGAGCAGCAGTAGAGAATTTGAATTAGTTGCATAATCAAGAACTTTCCGCATAGCTCGTTACTAGGTCATAGCTGCTGGACAATTGCTAATTCAGATATTTGAAGGGAAAACCCGTTACCAAACCAATGCTTTTAGATGCATCTCAGTGACATTCTTACACGGTGAAAGCGAATACATGTCAGTACGAAAAACTAACAGAGAAAGTCTTCCTTCGCACTCTACACCACACCAACAAAGAATAGAAAAATCAGATGGAAAAGAAGAGGACTTACCAGACGTTGAAGACGCTGCAGACGGAGGTGGATGACAGTGCGTTCGACAGGGAATCTTTCTGCTTTTATAGCTTTGAATGGGGGGAGTGGTGAGGGTGGGTGTGCGGGGGAGGAGGGGAAGGGGAGGAGGACGTTTGCCTTCCGGCCCACTTTCGTCTAGTCAGAAAATCCCGACCGTTACGGTCGATTCATATCTCTACTGAACCCTTTCAAGATTCTAAAAATATGTATTTTTCATGCATATCAAGTGATTCTGGTGGAACAGGGTGGAATCTGCACTTTTGCCTTCGCATCCTGTGCCAAATGGGACTCCCGCTTGGGAGAGTTCGAAGAGAGATTATTTGAGGAGAGATGGTACTCCTGCACATGCATCGCAGATACATATCATACATGTGTCTCATGCTGATCTAGACCAGCACGAAAGGAAAAAGTATGAGATGCACAAACCTTATGGCGGAAGACGTGGATGAACTTCTTCTGAAGTTCGAATCCACCTAACTTTCATGAGGCACAAGTTTAAAAATTGTTTTAAGTTTTACTTTTTCTTTAAGCTTTGGAATGCTACACCTGTTTCCTATCCTCACCCCCATTATCATTCAGGACCAGAGTGGCGTAATTGAAGCGTCTTGGACCCATATCCTAGAAGTCTGTGAAGCAAAACCATACTTTGCTAAATAGGTTTCATGCCATCTTTCCCATTCGCAGACTGATTTGACTCGGTTTCATTGATTGAAATTCATTTTTGAGGTACACCAAGGTACAATGCCGTCACAAGTTCGGCCAGTCTCTAAAATAGTTTTTTCTTCATGAGACGGGGAAAGAAAATTCCTAAAGGTGTGCAGAAAATTCAAGCAAAATTTCGAGGTTGTTAGATAAGGCAATGCAGAGAAAACTTGCGAAAGGCGCCGGTTTCCTCTTTCTCACTCACTCGACCCACTTCATTGTACAGCTGTTTGGTTGTGGGAAATTGCCGATCTCAGTAAACAATTTCAACAAGTTTCGAAGTGTTTGATCGAGGTAGCGCGATTCGGATGCTTGACAGTCCCCAACTTCATGCTTGAATCGGCCAGATGCATGAACCTGATCAATGCATGATCAAGGCCAACTAACCTGAAACCCATTCATTGAATAATCCCTATGAATAATCCTGATGCTCGTGACAGATCACAGCAAAACTTTTCCTTCTAATTCCCATTCTGTCAGAAAAACAATTTGCACGCCCTCTCACAGGGTTGGTAACCGAGCCAAAGAGAGACAAAACCTCATCCCATGACAACGAAATGATGAACGTGGTCACCACCTGTGAAGCCATGAGAAATGACTTCTCTTCCTATACCTTCACAATGTCCGAATTGAGACATCTGACCTTGACATTAGGGGGAAAAGGCGACGACTCGGCGTTTGAATACAGTCCAGTACTTTGATTACAACAAAACTGTATTATTGGTGAGGAGATCGCTGCTGATGCTAACTAGTGAAAGGTAACCATGAAGAATGAGATAACATTATTTTCTGCTCCCGAAGTCCACACTAATCCCAATAAAGCTTTATAAATCCCATAAATGAATGATGACAGATCAGAAAAGGAAAATTCCCAGCTTGCAACATAAGATAATGGAAAATAGGTACGGGTGAGACCCCTTCCATTGAACTTTCACAGGAGAAATGATCTAACTTGCAACGGATTATTGGAAATGATCTAACTTGCAACTCGCTATAAAAGGTTTTCAAGCTTCTTCGGTGACAATTTCGCGAAATGACTCCAAGGTGTGAAATAAGTGGGTTGTCTTCCAGAGACTTTTTATTTGAGGACTTCAGTTGCGAGTTGGGAGGCTCAAAATTTGGAACCATCAACATTTAGCTCACCGTTTATGACTATCTGTGAATAATGGTAATGTAAGTATTCGAAAGCCATGACCATCAAGATTCATATTTTAATCCTGAACTGGCTGTTTCAAATCTCAATTAGCACTGATAATGTGCGAACACCACCCTATGCATCGAATCCCTGTTGGTCGCATAGCTATCATAGCACTGGGGCGATACAATACCGAAGGCACATGCTCAGGCTCTTCCCTTCTCCCACCTGACACCCACCTGCCTCCTTTTCCCGACACCTGCAAGTATAGAAGGGAGCGGAAGGAGAGAATATAGCAGAGTGGCGCAGTGGAAGCGTGCTGGGCCCATAACCCAGAGGTCCGTGGATCGAAACCACGCTCTGCTAGTCTTATTATTTTTATCTCCTCCCTTCATCTCCTCTATCATTTTAAAAATACCGTTTTATAATGAAATGCTGCGATTTGGCATGAAACCTTAGACCTCGCTGCAACCATTTTCCCGAAAGTTTCATTATATACTGTAGTGGTTGATGGGTTTATAACAGATTTCTTTCAAAGGAAAAAGTTATTATTGCCACAGAAATTTCCAATGGAGGAAGAAATTGATAGAGGACTCTAATACCGTCATAGTGCCTCGTCGTCCTACCTACCTTACACCAAAGGAAAACCTGAATAATTTATCAGCTCTCTCCCTGTTTTCCAACTTATTGATTCATGTCATCAATTCCAATGAAGCTCAACAAAACTATCTGCAAGGAAGCAGACAAGAATTCAGCTGAATGGAAGGTAATTTCGACGCAACCTAAGCAATGAGAAAGCAGTGCGTTTGACGGTGTCCCCAATGCAATGCCAGCACGAGCTCTGGTCGATTTTACTATCCAACACTTTTCAACAGTGCTCTCCTTGTATCAATTCACTTTGAACACATTCACAGTTATTTTCAAACATACACATCTCAATGGGCAAGGAAATGAAAGTGTCGAAAGACTATTGGGATGAGCGTAGATGTACCGATTTGCAAGCTGTTGGTTCATAACCTTTTTTACGTACACGCAAACTGGTGGCTTGGGATTTCTGACATGAGAATACGATCACCGATATGGCGCCATAATTGCAAATTAGGCCATAATCAATAGTGGTGGCATCTTCGGGATTCACTTGATATTCTCATGTTCCCAGATACACAATTAAATAAGAGAATTGAATTTTTGAATTGCTATGAATTCGTCATTCTCTAATACACTTCGGTGAGAACGCGGGGATTACTTGATGTACGCCGATTAGATATTATGTATAGGTATATGTATGATAGGTACAGGTATTATGAGAAGATAAAAGTCATCACCGTTAACAATCGCCTCACCTTGTCAGGAACAGAATGGCTTTGTGGAAGCGTGCTGGGCTAATAACCCGGAGGTCAGTGGATCGAAACCACACACTGCTACGACTGGATTTTCATACCCATTCCTTTTCCGATCATGATGCCAATATATCATTGTTTTCATAATCCCTGTATTTCAATGTTTCGAGACATTTTTGCCACCAACTTTACGAAGTGTAATCATTGCCATATCATGGGTCTCTTAAGCGGAAATGTTTGACTCGATTTGCATGGAAATCGACCAAAATAAGAAGGCGTCACATGGTCTATGTACTTTACCTTTGCTTTTTTCGCAAGTATGTTTTTCCCTTACACCCTCCGTCGCTCTTCATACGCTAATGAGAGCGGGCAGTTCTTTGTCACCAACACTGAGTAACCATGACGACAGGATAAAGAAAGCAGGAAAAAAAGATATAGAAATCCAAATTGGGTCCCAATAGGAAACAGAAGCTGAGAGAAAACGTTATTTTACTGACTGGGCTGATGAGAGAATAGAAAAAAGAAACAGGTTATGCGCCTAAAGGAGAAGTTCTCCCCCGATTTTTTCCAGCCTGAAATTTGAAACGCGCACTCTGGCAGGATTGCTGCTATTCAGCCCTTTATATAATATGTTTCAATATGAATTGTTTCTGCTCTTGGATCTCCTTCTGATGAGACCTAAAAATATTAAATCACCGAGTAATATTCAGATCTTGTTTGTGTACCGAGTACGTCAGAAGTCATTCCGGAGATAAAATGTCAAATAATAGAATATAGACCATTGATTATGTATGAATGGAGGAGCATCCCGTATGCCGAGACGCTGCACCTTTCTAGGCGCAGTCACCCTCTCACTATAGTCGCATTAGTGCAGTGATGAGTAACCCGTGACCCGCGAGGTCCTGGTGTGTGACCGCGGAGATTTGCCAACTGAAATTTAATTTTTCCTGCCATCTGCCGTCAGGAGTGAAGATGATTGTCCTGCTGAAGCGCCACTTTTCCCACTTCGAGCCGGTAATACTCCATGGTCGAATCAATTCGTCCTCGAAGATGCCTGTATACAGCTTTGCATCCATTCTTCCTTTCATTTGACATGTTTTGGGGCTGCATGTCGGCCAAGGGAGTAGGATATGGCTGTCAAATGGAGGGAAGAATGGATGCCAAGCTGCATACAAGCATCCTCGAGGACGAATTGATTCCGACAATGAAGTTTTACCAGCTCGAATTGGGAAAAGTCAGCTGTACAATCATACGAAACAATCCTCGCGGCTGGCTCGTCAATGAAATCCAGGACCATGGTATCGAGGTCCTATAATGGTCAGCACAGTCGCCGGCCCTCAACCCAATGAAACACTTGTGGCAACATTTGAAGCGGAGGCTGGCGTGGTACGAAAATGTGCCAGCCAGAATTTAGGATTTGCGACATCGGCTCAATACCGAGTGGGGCGACATTCCAATCCAAACATGCCTTGACTTTTTCGAGAGCATGCCCAGAGGTGTCCAGGATGTGTTGAGGGCCAAAGGAAAATGCGCAAAATGGTGACTTCGCTTTTCTGTATGCCCGAGTGTGAGGGACAAAACTGCGACAATGAACAGGTTGACTTTGAACGACTGTAGCTCAACCAATAGGAAGCCAGTTCACACGGGACTAGTACCAATAGAAAGCAAGGAAGTAGGAGTATGAAAGCTGAAATTTCAATTTAAATGAGTACGTCATACTCGAATCATCAAGTAGAGCCGTGTCAAACATTGTCAGTTCTGTCCCTCACTGTAGAACGGAATTACGGCGCAGTGAAGGGGAATGGGAAGGAGAGAAACTTGGAGAGGGATTGAATGCGTATGCGCCTTAAGGCGGAGTCCTCCGATTTTTTTTCAGCCTGAAATTTGAAACGTGCTCTCCTGCAATTCTTATGTTACTCAGACTTATAATAGGTATGTTTCGATATCAACAATTTTTTGCTCTTGGATCTCTTTCCGATGAGCACTGCAAGTAGTAAATCGCCGAATGAAGTTCGTAACTTATTGTCAATACAGCGAAAACGGCAGAAGTCATTCCAGTGCGATTTCGAATAAATTTTATAAATCAAGTGACATTTCCTAAACTGCGTGCGTTTTCATGCAAATCAAGCCAAACTTTTTCACCATCGAGCCGCATGATGTACGTATGCTTAAACTCTTCTAAAACCAGGAGGCAAACTTGTTTCGAGACCATGAAACGCAGGAATTGGGGAAAGCAATAAAAACGTAGCTTCATGTTCAGAGAATCCACTAGGCGAAGGAATAACATTTGAAAAGTAGCAGATCGTGGTTTCGATCCACGGACCTCTGGGTTACGGGCCCACCACGCTTCCACCAGCCACTCTTCTCACGATGTACGTAGAAGCACTGTTCATGAAGGTAAAGAAGGAACCCAGAGAGGAAGGAGGAGTGGTTTAAATTGGGATGCTGGCACACATGTGGACTTCTGAATTTAAGTATTTTAATTAGGTCAAAAACTGATCCCCAACTGCATATATGCCACAGATGTTAACATTTTATTGGGAGTTTTCATTGTATTAATAATTCCCCCAGGTCACTGTTCCCCCCAGATTACAAAATACTCTGCACCAGTAGTGGAAAAAAAATATCAAGCCCAAAAATCCCTGTAGAGGTTTAGGGAGGAAGTAGATGGAGTAAATGTACCACGTGGATCATCTTCCAGGTAGCATTTTTGAGCCTGCAGAGTATCCCAGAGATGTCGAGCACATTGTCTCATTAGAATGGAATCAGTTCCATGGTTGGAATTATCCTTGGAAGAGTCACAAATCCTTCGTGGTTCTGTGAACCCCAGTGCGTTTCAACCCCCCCCCCCCGGATTTAGGGAATGAAGTCGCTAACTCCAGTTTCTCTCCCTTTTACGTATATCGCTCACTCTTTACCAAGAGTGTAGTTATATTCTATGCCCATTATGAGCTTATTATTATGAGCTTAGCTACTTCCCAACTCCTCCATCCAATCCAATGACAATATGTATGCATGAAAGCCTTAATGAGCGAGTGAATGAAGCACAGCCTCATATGAACATCCTTATTCCATTGAGTGTGCATGCTTGTGCGAATAAACGAGTGAATGTATCCCACCGTTTAAGGTGGTAGGACGACGAGGCACTCAGAAGGTGTTGGAGTCCTTTATCCTTTTTTTTCTACAAATTTCCCTTGAATAGTTGTTCCTTGTCTCGTTTTGGCAATAATAAATGGGATTAAATATGTTAAGAACAATCAATGTCTACACAATACAAATTTCGGGAAAATAGCTGAAATGGGAGCAGGGATATTCCTGGAAGAGGTTGGCGATCTCTTATTTCCCATATAGACTTAATGTCTGATAACACAGGAATGTAAAGGGGAGGAGGGGAGATACGGATGTTGGACGTATCTCAATAGGGTAAGCATCAATAACTCTCCGAAGATAGAAGGGCGAAAATTGAGGTTTCAGGCCAAATAAGTTTCCTCGTAGACAAACATGGCTTAATCAGAAAAAGGTGATCTTGAAAATGATATATAAAAAGGTAGGGTTTTAGAAAGTTGTCCTTAGATAGCAGAGCGTGGTTTCGATCCACGGACCTCTGGGTTATGGGCCCAGCACGCTTCCACCAGCCACTCTGCTCCCAAGAATGGGATTGGGGGGGGGGGGGGGGGGGGGGGGCATAGCGAGGAAAGTCAAGGCACGTGGAGTAAGGACATCTATGGGAAGTGGGACGGGGAAGGTGCGGAGAGAGGGAGAAAGCCTGCTTGTGCGCCTTCGTTATTGCATCACTCCGACTCCATGACCCGCTTGAAAACCGACAGTCCGTCTGATGGATTCAACGTATAGGGTGATTAGATTAGGGTGATAATCATGATAAACAGAAACAGCTATCATCTATTTATGCTTGAAAACCAACATATCTTTTGGGGCAATTGAATTTTAGGCCCACCAGTTTCGGAGGAAGTGAGAAGGTTTTTATGTCCTGGCAGTACAACATTGTTGTTAAGTAAACAATGTTTAGTTAATTGATTGAAAGCTGTAAATATTGCTACATCGCCATCGTCTTTACATCGTGTCCTCGTGAGGAGAGATTGATAGCTGGCAGGAAAGACCACATCATAAGCCCTAGTGACAAGAGGGCTAATGAGAGAGGTTGGGGAGATTATGACAGATCCTGGCAGCTTTAAGTGTTCTGGCCAAAAGGTGACATCTGGGTTAGGTCGCCAAGTTGTGTGAAGAGCTATGTACTTTTTTTAATGTTGAGTATGAGAGAAAGAGGAAGGTGACGAGAGATGAAGGAGGGAGAAAAGTGAAAACATTCCCATGAGAGAACTACTAGTATATACAAAAAAGCTTCACTTTATTTGAAAAGAGTTTCAGAAAAGAGAGTACACATCAGCAATTTCCGTAGAAACTGAGCGTGCGGATACAGCTTCCTGCACATCCATGACAGAGCGAAAGGGACAAATGTCCCTTTCATGGTTTGTAAGAATCTTAAAGTGGTTGTCTTAATAAGATCCCTTAGAATGGATCCTTTCCTGAATAAATTTAGAAGCTCGGATTTCATTATTTTCATTTATGTTTATTGTTGCCGGCAGTCTATGCAGGGGTGCCGCCAAATGTTGTTGACAAAAAAGTACCTTTGGTGATAAAGGATTGAGAACCACTATTATTGAGATCATATTATCATATATCCAACATTCGCCTACATGGCATTATTCCCATGCCAGCGAGAATTATGAATCGCCAGAGGACGATGCCATCTCCTGCTTGGGAAATCGTAACTTAATCGGGGATTCCGTTCCGTGCAGAAGTAAAAGTTGCGGGAAGGAGATGGGACTCTGGGGAAACAATTCAGGTTCATCCAGGATGGCCGTGGGTGCATTCCATGACTGGCACGTCCTGATGTGGAGTGGGCTTTCTGAAAAGAAACAGGACACCATCAGCTTCAATTAGTCCAATCCATGCAATTCAATTAGCGAAGATCTTAGATGTTAATGTTTACATTCTGGTTTCCTTTATGACACAAAATCCCCTTGGACCTATGCATAAAACGCAGGTAGATCTGTTTCGAGAATTTCGTCTATGGCCTATGCAATGCAAAGACAGGAAAAGTTCCAAAAAAAGTTTTAAAAAATTGGAGGAAAAATAAAACCTGTTCCTCGCTCCGTTACCACGCCAACGCGTTTTCTTGAAAAAAAAAATAAATTCACGGATATTCCTGTTACTTTTGACGTATGTATGTGCAAACTTTCTTGCAGAGGGAAACAATTAATACATTTCCGCGATTAAAAACTAATTTCGGTTAGGAACTCACGAACGGCCTCGAATTCAGCAAAAAATTTTTTTTAGAAAAGGTTTCAAAAATAGTTATTTTCATGAAGATGAGAACCAAATTAAAAAAAGAGAAACTATTCAAATTTCGCGCGTTTCTTGCTCAGGGAGAATAAATTTCTTCAATTCATCATTCGGCAGGCTCTCTGAAAATCATTGATATTATATCTCTTCACAATCGCCCATTTCGTCCCAAGAAACACTTCCGCAGTCGAATTATTAACTCCTCCGACGGCATACAGATTTCCGTCGTGAGATACGAGTCCGTGACCGGACCGTCCTTCCAGCATTCTCGGCCCTTCCCGCCAGGTGTTTCTCCTTCGATCGTACACGAAAACATCCCTTTTGACGACGATGTCACATCCCCCGGCCAGGAGGAGGTCATCGAGGCGAGAGGGCATGGTACCACCACTGTTTCGGGAACTGAGCCAGCTCCTCCCATCGGGATGTGCGCAGATCCAGATGCTCGTGCTTATTAGAATTTGGGTTTCCTCCGATGACGTGAAGGCAAGAGTCGTGATAACACGCGCCTGCTAACCGCCGGTGATACTTCATATCGACGAGTCGCACCCATTCCCGTGATCCCACATCATAGCGAAATGCACTTCTTTCATTTTCATTATTTTCATTATGTCCACCGCAGATGAATATGGATCCGGGGGAGACTGCAGTCGCCGGGCATCGAAAGTACTCGGGAGGCTTCGGCCCTTCCATCCATTCATTCTTCTCAGTGTCAAATATCTTCATCTCGCTCTTCCCTGTCACGTACAGTTTTCTGTCGATTCCTGCAAAGGCATGATGAACATTTAAAGGATTGCGAGTGATTCCATCCAAGTCCCAATTATTCGGTCTGATGCGATAGATGATGCCGTTGCCGTTCATGCACCAAATGGAATCCGGCGTCGCTCGCGATCTGGTTTTTTCCTTAGGGACGGTGTGCCGGAGTTCTGGAATGTGAAAGTCCCTCGCATCTGTGATGGCCTTATTACACCTCGGATCCCCGGAAATAACTGCGTCTTTCAGCAGCACCGACATTAGGTATTCGTACGGCAGGAGAGGGAGGCGGATTTTCTCCAGGAGATCCGGTAAATGGCGTTTCCGGCTCGAATCGTGATCCAGCCATTTCCGCGTCGCTTCGTACACTTCCTTTTCTGAGGAAACTACTAAATCATTTCGACCCAAGAACGAAGACAGGGTCTCGAACGAGATACTCATGGAGTCCCGTGATTGCACGACCTCGTGGAAACGGAGAGAAATTTGCGCAACGGCAGCTTCCCTTAAGTCTTGGTAATCGTATTGTTCGGCGATTTGAAGGACACGAAAGGCATTCTCCGAATCCAGGAATGCCTTTATGGTCGCGCTAATTCTTTGGCACAAACGTTTCATACCGAGAAAATGCGGATCTCGGAAAGTAGCCAATGCCCCTTCCTCCCCTTCTACTTCTATTCGCGTTCCATATATGTAATCCCAAATGGGCTCGAATCCGATGTTTGTGAATCCTTCCAACCTGATCTCTCTCTGGGAGACATCTCTGAAGTCGGTCGAGAACATTTGCCGAAAATAGGGAGAGACGGAAGCGACGATCACCTTTGCAGGAGTAGAATCTGCTGCCTTGGACGAGGATGACGACGTCGCACCAGGAGGGTCCGGTCTCGAAGGACGAGGAGATGTCCTTCGCAAGGCCATCGTGACCGTCCATGTCTTTCTCGCTCACAATGGTTTTTCTTTTCGATGCTGGAGATGTCATTCTTAGGAACGGAGTGAACAACGTTCGACGGAATCGCTTTCCGAAGCACACTCTCGGCGATTTCACTCAAATCTCCGGAAGAAATCGGATCAAGTCAGAGGAAGAGGGACGACACTGGGGAGTCTTCTTTTAGTGTGGGCCTGAATGTGAACGAACGAATGTTCGATGTGATAAATTCACCTTGGCGAACGATATGATGCACGCACTTCCTCCAGAGGGGAAAAACGTCATTCTGTCGTATCTATGGCCGACGCGAAATATTGTTCTCTTACTGTTAGGACAAGAATATCCAGAAAGAGAAGAGGCAGCCCTAACGTCCGAATCGGATCGAGGGCAATGTACGATAAGGTTCCGAAGGAAATCGCGAATAAATAGCATGTGGCTCTCGCTCAATCTTCTAAATTCTAAACTCCATGCCACGATTGTTTCGCGGTACGGTGCAGGACGGTGGAATTCCCTAGTGAACCGTCGCGCATTTTTTCCACGGTCTTCGTCTTACGTGATGTCCCACGACGCTGCCTTCACTTTCTCATCCACACTCCACTCCATCGTTCCTGTCTATCGCACTGACGCGACACGAAAGGTAGAAGTGGATCTCAGCTACTTCCCATCACCCTGGTCTCGACAATGCTGCTAATCACATCGAAGTTAACGTAAAGAGAGACATAGCCCCTGTATGGCGCCCGAAGGCATGACAGGGTCGGTAGGGCGAGGGCGTTGTTCACGTGGAAAGTGATAAGGGGTCCAGAGAAGCGTGAGTACGACATGGTATTGCCTTCTCCCCTGAGGGTCGTCCTCTCCAGCCGTCAGGGGGCCGGTGCCTGCTCTGTCGTCTGCTTCCTCATGCCGCAAGGCGGGATGGTTCATGTATGCAAATAAACTGACGTATGCTCTCCGTGAGGGACATTTTCCGATCCATACGAGATCCTTCCCATTCGATTCGAAACCAACGATGTGGTCTCCCTCCAACTCGTCTGTGAACTCGCCGAGAAAATCTCCCAACTGCGGATCGTTTTTCTGTCACTCGTGTATAAGACGGAATCCGTGTCATAGCATAAAACAGCCCTGCCCAACCGTTGACAGGTGGATTGAAGTTTCGATCGAGCATGACATCTAGCAAAACCGGCAATGAATATTTCTGTAGCAGTTTGCTAAGGCAGATGCTCGTATTTGGCACTGACTTTCATTTTTGAATCTGCAAGAAAGCGATTCTTATCGAGTGCACTCTTCTCGAAAATGGTCCTGCTTAATTTGTGCACATCCCGAACCTCCCCCAAAAAGAGTTCAGGGTCAATTTTGCGGCAGCTAGCAATCCGGGATTCTTTTTGCTTTTTTTTACCATTTTCCAGCTGAATTCATTTCAGGTTGCTCACAACGTTTCATACATACATCCCACTCGCTTTCCTCTTGCATCATGTATTATTTTCTTAAATGTGTCGATATCGACTTGGAAAAGATCCTTGGAATCATGAGGGAAGTGGCCCACATAATAGGGCCTCATCGGCATGATGGGAAGGCTCCTGCTGTCGGTTATCTGCACAGGTGCGGCAGAGAGGGAACGACAACATTTCTCTGCTCCGATTAGGGAGCACCGCGTGGAGCAGAATGACGCATTATATGAATCCGAAGTGTAAACTCGTATCTTGGAAGTCCCGAGTCATCATTCCGGGGTGTCTCATCCATATACATAATACGCAGTTTACCGAATCACCTAACCATGAAAGATAAATCGTGTGAATGTTAGAGTGGTCTCATATTGATTGTTATGGTCAAAAACCTTGCATAAAAAATATCATGTGGTAGTTGATTAATTAATTAAAAAGTTAATTACTTGATTTCCTTTATGCTACCTTTTTATTGCTCTCTCTTGGATCGGACTAGGCAGTCTCGTCGATATCAACGATGCCCTTTACATCTGATTGCTAATTGTATTTTTATTACTGGTAATTAACAATTATCCACGAGGGAAAGACTTCCGACCAGTCAAATGGAACATGTGATATATCAATCGCAAGCTCATGGTGACTAGATTGCGTTGGTGCATATTTTAGCTGCGAAAGATGAAAAAGAAACAGTCATGTTAATTTGTAGTCACGCTGAACGGATGGCGAAACTGCCCATTTTCGTTGAAACAGAAGCTGTTACGTGTGGTAATAGGGTAAGCTCAGCCCTTAAACTTCTTCACGCAGTGATTTTGAATTTTTGCTATATACCCTAACTAATCTGAGAGAAAACAGGAAGAAGGCACATTAAGCGAGCCGCATCCATTCTATGTTTGGCCGAACTAGCGAAAAAGTCAGCCTAATTTGGGGGATGATGGAGCAGTTGGATTAGATTTTCATTATAATGATCAAAAGGTCTAGGAATTTCGGGAAGATTAACTGGAATAAGTGGATTGACCGGAATGTCTACTGTAGACATTTCACACTCATGGGGCTTTTATTCCAATTAATCTTCACGAAATTTCCAGACCTTTTGATCCTTTCAGCGATCCACGATTGACTAATGAATCTCGCGCTTCTCGGAAAGTGACGGAGCGGATGCGGTCCACAAGTCGCAATTTTTCCGAGTCACCACAAGCCATCTGGGAAAGATAAAGATGTCGTTAGAATGGTCGATGGATGCGCTTTACAATGCTCTCGTATCATACATATGTGCAGCACTTTTGGTTTGGGCAGTGGAGGGAGGCTCTATCTCTATGGGACACCCTGTATATTATGCTTGGGCGTCTGTATGTCCGCAGTGTCATGTGCGCATGCGTCGCGCCTTATCCTGCCGGCTTCGTGTGTCTGTCTCGCCCTCTCCCTCTCCCTCTCCCTCCGGCCATAGCGGCTGTGGGATACATTCTCGAGAACGTAATAGCCCGGGGAGGGCGGGGGAGGGCGGGGGGGGGGGGAAGAGTTCAGATGGCATATCGATAGGGAACAATGGAGCGGCGGGAATCGATCCTGGAGCCTCCTAATTGGCAGACGGGTACTTATCTACTACACCACCAAACCGAATACGATCGGAACTCCTTTCCATGCCATCCCAAATACGAGAACGGGAGAGATGCATTCTACGCACACTCCCCGCTCCCGATACGGACTCGGGGATCCGATATGGACTTTTTCAGCAGGGACGTGTAAAACGTCCCCGCGTATAACGCTTGGAGTCCCCTTTCATCACTTAAGGGAAAATGACTTCCTCGCCGGGATGAGATCTCTTCATATACTTCATCATCAGATCATATATATTCATCGGGATCTCCACCCCTCCATCAATCAGAAAACCGTCTTTTCATTGATCGGGATTCTCACAAGGAGAGTGACTCCCGAGGGTGAAAACGGCGGGATCCCACCTGCATGGAACAGGAACCCTTGGATCGGAAAGACGCCGTCGGCCGCGTAGTAACCGTCCCGTTTCTCTAGCGCATGTTTCACTCATGAGCCCACATGAAAAGTGATGGAGATGGACTTAACCGACGAACCATCGTCGAGATCGATACCGGGTAAGAGTCCCGTCCGATAAAATTCCTTATCGTAGGCGTGAACACCCCTGCGAATAAGAAGGAAGGGGATGCGCAAGACGTACAGTGTCAGAGCGGCTGCTGCGCAGAGCGGCTGAGTAAACTCGTGAATATCCGAAAATGCTACACGGTTTGGTCGACCCAGAGTTCGTGGACGTCTTCCACAGGTTGGGGTCTCCGTCTCGCTCGAGAGCGAGCAGTTTCTTTCGAGTCTTCGCGACTGTCGGATTCGTTCTCGAGAACGACAGAGAGAGAGCGGCTGTTGCGTAGTGTTCAAGTGTTGACTGAACTCATGGATTCCCGATTACGTTCAGGACCGTTGTGAGAGGGGGGGAGGGCAAAATGGGCAATTTTCCCCGTGTCCCTTGCTTGGGGGGGGAAGGACCGGCCACACCGGATGATGTCTGTAGTATTGTTTATTGGCGTAGCGTTCGTTTGCAATGAAGAGTTCAAATACACTGAGTGTGTTTGAAGCGGCATGGAGAGGGGAAGAGTGGAAAGAGTGGAGTGCCTTACGTGAATATTTCCCCAGGACTCACAATTCGTGTTGACGACCCTGACTGTGTCACATGCTTAGCCAAGGCCAGAAATAGCAAACTTGACTGAACTGATGGTCGGATGGAACCCTTCAGGAGTTGTTGAGCCCACATTCGTACATCTTGCACCAACGTTTCAATTGCCAACAGGTTGAAATAGTCTACGCTCTTTCAAAACCAACGGTTGAAGAGGACTTTGCAGGCCGGACGAAATCAAATAGTTGGCCGGCAGTTTGACACACATGGCTTAGACCGACCCGAAGTTCGTGGAAGTCTACCACGGATCATTCGTATCGTTGAGAGGGCCGCTGAGTTTTAGGGCTGCTGACAGAGCTCGGGAATTCCCGAGAAATAGTTCGTGGAAGACATCCGCGCGTTGGGGTGCCCGTCTTACGCTTGCACTTTCCGGCCTTCGCAACAGTCGGATCCGTTCTTGAAAATGGGAGAAAGTCATTCTACGATTTGCGCCCCCCCCCCCCCCTCCCTCCCCAAAACTTGGAAAACTGCCGATATATGTAAGGGGGAAGATCTCACACCGGCGAGGAAGTCATCCTCCCTTCAACGGGATGAATGGGGACTCCGAGGGTTCACGTGGGGACACGTAAATAATGGGAAATAGGGGTTGCTGGCTATACAGATGTATACCACTGAGTTTTAGGGCCGCTGAATGAACTCGTGTTCGTGGAAGTCTTCCACGGGTCGGCTAGTATTCACAGAATTTGTTAGTGCATAGATACAGTGATGTAAACTCAATATTTTTTTTTACTCCCCTTGACATCATATTCGAGGACGGCTTCGTGCCGTTCAAAGAGGTTTTACGTTATCTTCTTCCTTTCTCTCCATTCGCATTCCCAGACAACGTATTAGCCCTAGTTCTCCAAATACTTCGATGTTTGTCCTCTCGTGTAAAAGTTTCAAAGGAAATTCATGGACGGGATGAATGACTTCGAGGTCATGCCAGCGCTGGCATCAACGGAAGAAGCACCATCGAACTCGAAAATAGTTTGAGTTCCCTTGTGAAAACTCCGATTTTCTTCTCACCGTCTGTATGGTCGAGGGCATGTCTAATGGGGATCTCCCTATCGCGGGCAGTGAAGTCTAGTCATTCGACCTTCGAGAATGATTCGGTACCCGTGAGAAGGGACCGCGACGATGGCATTACCTTTAGTGATGGGATTCTCGTAGACGGCAATTGTGAGGCGTCGGAACGGATCGCAGTCGGCCGATTGCAGCGGGAGTTCTCTGGACTGACAGGCTCTTCTCGGATTGTCGACATCAGACTGCCAAAACGTTGGCATTTCATCTTGAAAATTGAAGATGTCACCTCTCTCTTGTTCATTCGAAGCTACTCCAGAAATATCTCCCTCTTGCATGTCGACACGGAATCGCATACATGAGCTTTGGGAGGAAGAATTAAGTGTAGTTAATCTTGGTGCTCGCAGTACATCTACCCTGGGATGTTTTTGGAGGAAAGAGGAAATAATCTTTGGAGGAGGGTCTTTGGAGGATCTTTGGAGGAGGATCTTTGGAGGAAATAATCTTTCCAAACGAAAGATTATTTTTGTCTTTGACAAAAAAGTCATTTTTGTTGGTTTGCAGTGCACGCCATTACAATATGACTTTAAATGTCCTTAATTTAGGCTTAGTGTGATGGCTCCGGTCACAATCTTCCTCCAGTGTTGCCGGAGATCGAGCTTTATCTATATCAAATACATGACATATTCGGCCTTAATATCGTGGTCTGGATCTCCCCTTTTTAATATAGGAGACATTATTGTACTGAATTCATAGGAGTTGAGATTGAAAGTTGGTTTGCAGTGGCCGATCGATTTGGTGGAATACGGAGATGCCTCATCCGGTCATCCCTAAATTAGCATGGTGGCAGCCAGTTCGTTCGTCATACTTTACCTTACATACATAAATACCATAACTTACAAGGCACTTTCTTCTCGAACGAGCCGAGACGCTTCAAGGAACTCTGGATAGGCCCAATGCTCCCCGAAAATAAATGCAAGCGATGGCAGTCGATTTCCTGCTCGAAGACCAAAGCAATGCATCAGAGTGCCTTTGCTATCTGGAAGAATTTATGTGCAACTTATCGGTCTGAAAAAGACCGATAAGATATGCGAAAGTCTACAGATTCAAAGAATTCTCACGCGCAAAAGAAGAAAAGAAAAACGTGAAAGAGCAGTAAAATAAAACTCATCCCATTTCTGGTGTTCATTGATCATTTATTTTCTAAAAGTAATAATCGAAAGGGATTCCATCCCAAAATTCGTCCACAATTTGCTGCGGTATATATGCGCATATTTTATTTGAAATGGGAAAAACTAGAACGCATGCGCGATCAATTATCATTTCCGTTGCCAACTCATGAATAATCTCCAGATCAAAGAAGAAAATAATAATGGGAGGGAACCGATTTCGTTTATTCTAAATGGGATTCGCATTTAAAACGAAATTAAAAGACTTGTGTTTGATGCGTTTGTCGCGAAGAAAACTCAGCAGATATTCTCAATTAATCATTCGGCAAGCACTCTGCAAATTAATACAATCATATGTCTTCACTATTTCCCACTTCGTTTCATTAAACACTTCCACAGACGAATTTCTGACTCCTCCAACAGCGTACAAATTTCGGTTCCAATAAACGAGTCCGTGGCGTTCCCGTCCTTCGAGCATGCTTGGTCCCTCCCGCCACGAATTTCTCCTTCTGTCGTAGACGAACACTTCCGTTTTATTGCCAGAGCCCATTCCTTTGATTCGAAGGTCGTTTCCCCCGGACAAGACAAGGTCATCTCCTTGAGGAGAGACAGCGTGGTTCCATCTATTTTGAGGGAGCTTAGCCAGCTCTTCCCATCGGGACGTGCGTAGGTCCAAACGCTCGTGTTTCTTGGAATGATGAATTCCTCCGATGACGTGAAGGCAAGAGTCGTAATAACACGCTCCTGCTAACCGCCGGTCGAACCTCATGTCACTGAGTCGTACCCATTCCCGCGTTTCCACCTCGAGGCGAAATACGCTTTTTAAGTGTTCGTTCTTTTGATTCCTCCCACCGCAGACGAATATCGACCCAGGAGAGACGGCAGTCGCCGCCCATCCGACAAACTCGAAAGGCTTCGGTCCTTCCTTCCATTCCTCCTTCTCGACGTCGAATATCTTCATCTCGCCTTTCCCTGTCACGTACAGTTTGTTATCCATTCCTGCGATGGAACATGACACCTCTTTCAAGGGATTGTGAGTGACTTCATCCAAATTCCAATTATCCGGACTGATGCGAAAGATGTTGCTGTTGTCCATGCACCAAATCGTATCTGATATCACTTTTCGTGGTAAGGTTTTCGCCTTATCGACGCCGTGACGGCGCTCGGGAATGTGATAGTCGATAGCATCTGTGATCGCACTAAGGCTTCTCGGATCCCCAGAAATGACTTGATCGTTGAGTAGCACCGTTCTCAAGTATTCGTACGGCAGGAGAGGGAGACGGATTTTGTCTAGGAGATCCGGTAAATGACGTTTCCGGCTCGAATCGTGATCCAACCACTTCCGCGTCGATTCGTACAGTTCCTTCTCGGAAGAAACCTGCAATTCGTCTCGATCCAAGAATGACGCCAACGTTTCGAAAGAGACACTCAGGAAATCCTGCGTGCAGACGACCTCGTTAAATCGGCGAGAAATAAGCGCAACGGCAGCTTCCCGCAATTCTCTGTATTCGGATTTCTCGACGATTTTGAGGATGCGGATGGCATTCTCAGGTTCCAGGAATGCCTTGATGGCTATGCTTACTTTTTCGCACAAACGTTTGATCCCGAGAAAATGTGCATCTCGAAAAGTGGCTAATGCCCCTTCCTCCCCTTCAACCTCCACTCGTGTTCCATGTATGTAGTCCCAAATCGCCTTGAATCCGATTTTGGAGAAGCCTTCCAGCTTGATCTCTCTCTGGCAGACGTCTCCGCAGTCAGCAGAGAACAGTTTTCGAAAATAAGGGGAGATGGAGGCGAGGATACCTTTGCACGAATAGAATTTGCTGTCTCCGATGAGAATAACGGCATCACACCACGAAGGTCCGGTCTTGAAGGACTCGGAGATGTCCGTTGCAAGGCCAATATGATCACCCATGTCTTTCTCGATCACGATGGTTTTCAAGGCCGGACTCGACATTTTTCGATCGGAGTGAACCACCTCTGAAAGGTTCCCTACGTGCAAGGCAGTCTCAACGATTTCACTGAAGGTGCTGCCGAAAATTGACCACGGTGACGAAATGAAGGATATTAGTGAGTTTCCTTATACTGTTGCCACCGATTTGTTGGAAAGAATGCTAGATATGATTAAGGTCACCGTGGAGACCGATAAGAAGCACGTAAATTTTTCCGATAGCAAAGGCACTCACTAACAAAAAACGTTGCTTTTTTCTTCGGGCAAGAAATCTTCTGCCATTTTGAATCGTTTTGAGCTTTTAATCTAACTTCTGGGGAATATGTCTATAATATAAACGCACAAAAATGATTCCTGAAAGAATCAAAATTGCTCCTCCTTGCTGAACCCAGGGACAGATGGTACTACGAGATGAATCGCGAAATTCCTTCTTATAGAACCGCAGTCCGCCTGAGGCATGCCCGTTGAAAGAATATTTCCTAATATGAATAATGGTGTAAACAAAATACACAATCGTTATTACACAAAAGTATTCATTCTAAACTGAAGAGCCATTTTTTCATGAAACTATTCAAGAGAGAGTAGCCTTTTTGAGTAGATCAGTAGGTCAGGAAGTGTCTGCAATCCGATGTACTATTTGTTTCATTGCGGAATTGGTTCCGCCCTTTTGTTGAAATTGTGGAGGTCGGGGTTCAGTGGGTTTGAATAGAGGAAAGAAAATGCTAAGTTCTTAATAGGTCCAATAAACAGGATACGTTGACTGGGGAGTTTCCAGGCAATCTTGAAGGATGGGTGCCTCAATTCATGAATCCATGGCCTGCTCATAAGAGCGAGCTTGAACGAGTAGCTTATCTGGTTGCGTTTTTCGTGCCTGCCTCCTCGGTGGTGTCATTCGTTTGATCGAGGAGGTCTTCCCTGATAAGCTGTGCCTGTATGAGAAAGTGCAGGTGCTCATGCGCCATTAGTGGAGGTTCATTATTGGATGATTCCATGAATTATTAATCAGTAGGTAAGAACACACCACCTCCAATTTTGAGGAAATTTAGCACACAGGATTATCATGCCTCGAAACCCGGATCAACCACATTTCAGCCAAATCAAGTTCGACAGTAGCCCTGAATACTATAGGGATTCTCTCCACGACCAGGGGACGGTGTCCCAACTGGAATAGATTCGACCGAGATCTGAGATCCGGCCGTTTGGCACGAACCAGTTCTGCCCGATAGCCGCCCACAAAGCTTAATACGTCATTTACATCACCATTCACACTTGGTTTAAGGGGAGAAGATCTCGGGGACCAGGAATCCAGACGTGGACCGCCTGCAGGGACTGCAAGTTCTAGGACTTATTCGCCTAGTCCGACGAGGACGACCCTGAACTACTCGTAGATAGTTGAATACTATGAAAATATATGTTTGATTGTGCTGTCTCAGAATTTCCCCTTTTTCTTGTTTCCACCAGGGTCCACTCAGTCCCGAAACTCCGAGACCAGGAATCAGCCGAGGAAGACCTTTTGAGGCTTACTCGTGTACTCCAAGGGCAAAAGGTGCCTTACGAAATCTGGGCATTGGAATCCTCCGGTAACCCCGCGGGATGAAGGATCGGGACTCAACGGCCTGTAACCCCGTAGAACCTTTAAAATATGAATGATATGCAAGGAGGCACCATGATCTGCAGAGGCTAACAGAGCACTTCGTTTCCTCCGTCATGCAGTAGGTTTACCAGCCAACAGTTACGATCGAGGCATCTCCCTAGAAATAAAGATCATCCGAGAAAGAATGAAGGTGAACTCCGAGGTTTTGCAGAGCCTCCATCGCTCGTAGAAGGCAAGGCAACCAGCCGCATTAAAATGATTCAGTTCATATTATGTACTTCATCCCATCTCCTTGACTCATGGAAAGACCCTTGTGAAATTGCACTTTTGGAGTCACTCGGCCACGAGTCAAAAGAGAATGGCGGTAGAATTTCCTTTCCGCGCATGAACACGTGCTCGGCATTGATCCATTTAAGTGAGGAAGTACACAGAGAGAGGACCTTTACAGAGAGGGGGAGCGCGCTCTCTCTCCCCCTCTCTCTCCTCTCGCTCGAGACGGTTCTCCGTGCCTCTCAGCCCTAATGGGCTTCCCGTTCGCACTGGATTCCACCCAAGCGCCAAAGGTTAAGTGCCTATTTTTAGTTTGCGTGCGAGGGTCTGTACGAGAGCGTGAGAGTGTACCAGCGTGAAAGTTGTTCGGGCGAGAGGACCAACGATTGTTTTCGTACCCTCGCATGTGAATAGAGATATATTCCATTTCGCGGAAGTGCCGTGGTGAGCATGGGTGGTACATGAAGGTCATTCACGCGATTACCCCTCATACAGGCGTACTCGCACGTGCTGTCCATAAGACATGCAAGTGACGACTGCAATACCAGCTGGTGTGCGTGTTTGTGCGTGTGTCCTATCTTAAAGTATTTCGAGGTTGAGCAGATGAATGACAAGGAAAAGCCAACGGTCGCGAGAGACGAGTATTATATCTTGACCTGCATTTCCCCCATTTAATCCAGACACAGTGAATTTACAACGAAGCACCTGTTGAGCTTCAGTGGATATTAGAACCAAATTTATTTAATCAACTCGCCACTCATCCCGCTGATTGAAGATATTTCGCGGAGTTCATTCTTCCAGAATTCGCCACATTTGCCGTTTCTCCCTAAGGGTGAGTGTATTTTCCATCTCTTGTTTGCGATAAGGCTTCAAACTTATTCAGAAGTTTGACAAGATATCCATATTTTGAAGTGATCCGGGATGAGAATCATATCCTTGAGCAAAAAGAAAACGGAATATCGTATTTATGCCATACTGATTCGAAAACCACACATCAATAATGTTCCACATGATATTCCGAAATGGATTAAAATTCTGAGCGTAACAGTTAATTGCTTATACGGGGCCTGAGAACAAGGTTCAACACCGAAAAAGTGACCAACTTGGCCCATGTGTATTTAACAAGGAATGGATTCGTACTGGTTGGAAAAGTGGCAGAATGGAGAAAAAAAAATGGGTTCCAACATTAGTCCCAAGGAACTAATAAGGTCTCTGTTTCTTTGCTCTTCCCCTTTTCTTCCAGTATTAATTCAGTTTCATAAATTTTCCCTACTGCTCCTAGTTGTACTCTCAATATAAACTTAGGAAAACCTGGTATATCAGGAGAGTCCATCGTATGTTTCAGTATGCGGTTCTATCGGGAAGAAAGGCAAGATTCGCTGGATAATTGCCAATTGAAGCCATTGTTAATGGGGCCAGCATCTATCCTATACAGAAATTCGTGTTGCACTCTTTAATTATCTGTTAATATATTATACATTCTTAAGCATTGTATTTACCGCTTTAATTTTGTCTTACCAGTATCATAATTACCTTCCTTAGAAAGAATATCTATAACCTCTGAAAGTAAATGTTCTCCCATATCTCGAAATTGATATTCCTGTAATTTTGGAGTGTGGAGAGGACCGAGATCATGCCCTTCTGCAAGAATTTCGAAAATTTTAATGGAAATAAAAGTGGCTCCCTTCAAGGACCAACCCCAACATTTGTCAACTGCTTCCACCTGCAGTGGTGGAAGAGCGAGAATCGTAAGCGAGCCTCGTAAGACAATGTGGTATGTGGGCCTGTCGACCTCACGCTATTCACATCGCGACCCGCCGCGCACGTTTCCGAACGATAATGGCCTTACGCCATGCTGCGTGTACCTGCTATGGCTATGGGAGAGACACTGAGCTAAGAAATAAATGGAGGTGGCCCACCCGTAGGAACAGCATAGGCATGCCAGCTGCAATTGGAAGCCATACGTGTTGGGCTCATTGTGCCTAGTCACCATTCACTCCTATGGGATTTTCCACGATTTTTCTGCCCAACTTTCCTCAAAATACTAACTCGCAGGAAAATAACCCCGACACATCAGGCACAAGAGGTTCTCAGAGGAACCTGTAGGCCCTATTGTGTTGTTCCAATACTTCTTTTTATCATGAATATGGGTCCAATATTTCAGTTTAACCCTTTCGCACTCAGCCTATTTTCCAAGTACCTGGCCTAAATCCCTCTCTGGTCCGGAACAACATCACATTATGTAAAACAGTGCATACGTACCTTTTGAAGTTAGCACCTGTGTTTCGGAAAGCATTTTGAGTCATTTATGTAACTAAAAGAGCATGATTTAGACGGAGCCGATGGATCGGCGCGCTGAGCATATAAGTGTCATGTTCTCGTTGCCCCCTGATGCTCCTTTCACCCCTTTTCGCCCTCGCCATGGGGCATGTACCAGCCCCTTCACCTTGGCTCGGAGAACTACTTTCTCCGCCCAGAGTTGCCCTTAAAAGGTGGAGGTCTCGGATATTCGGGGCATTCGTGGAGCATTCGCTCAACACTAATCAACGGAGCCGTTTATCCCCGCCGTTTCAACACTACTCGACGGTGCCATCTACGCCCGCCGATACAACACTTCTCCACGGAGCTATTCTCGCCTGCCGACCCTCCACTTCTCGGCAGAGGTTCTCACTTCCAGCCAACAGCTCCTCCAACCACTTCCCCAAATCATGGTGACCTCCACTTGGAGGATGTCTTATTGAAGGGATTAAACCTTACTCGCAGAAATCCTGTTTACCACATTCTTCCATGTTCACGTGAAGCTTGGCGCGAACCGACGCAAGCCTCCACACGCATACGTATTCCTCAACAGCGCCATAACGCCAACCACGTGACATAAGGGTTAAGCTAATGGCAGAAAAAAAGAGATTGGGAATAGGTCTAAGCAAAATCCCGGCGATTCACGTGCAAAGTGATTCATAGAGTTTAAAGCAGGCCTGTGGTGCGCATTGGCAGAATAAAGGAGCAGATACCGCGGGATTATTGGAGCAGCCCTACTGAAAGCGGAAGCATGCCCTGCCAAGACCCGCCAACACATCTACCATGCACCTCGTGGTCGCCCATCCACTCCTTTCGCCTATGTTTGCCCTTGAACGTTCACTTCGTCAAACGAAGTTCTTTTCACTGCTCTACACAGCAGCTGCTCGGATATTATACGTCTTACCCAGCCCCCCCTTCCTCAAGGGGGTATTCACGCTTACGAAACGGACTTCTCAATGAGTGGCACTTGTATCCTGGATATATCATGACCCTGTGCGAGCCAACCCTGAAGTCCATCTCCACCACTTTCCATGTTAGCCTACAAGTGAAAATTACGGATAGAGAAACGACATGGACAAGAAAGACGACGTCGGCGGTGTCATAACCAAGGCCCCGCTCCAGGTGTGCAAAAGCACACCTAGAACTTGAGACCCACTAGAGAAATTGGGGATAGAGAAACGGGATAGTTACGACGCCGACGTCTTTCCTATCCAAGAGTAAGCGCTCCTGTTCCATACAGGTAGGATTCCGCCATTTTCACCCACGGGAGTCGCTCTCCTTGTGAGTGCCGATCAATGAGAGGACGGGGCTCCTGTTCATTAAGGAGTCGGGATCCCGATAATTATAAATATTTGAGCGGAGATCTCATACTAGCGAGGAAGTCTTCCTTCCTCCAGAGATGAAAGGGGACTCTAAGTGTAATACGCGGAGACGTTTTACATGTCCCTGGGGAAAAGTCCATGTCTGACTCCCATCATTAGGAAGCGGGGGATGTGCGTAGTATAGAATGTCTCTCTCTCCCGTTGCAATGTTAAGGATGACATGAAGAGATAAAACGGAACGTCTTAGGTTCGGTGGTGACATTGCATCACAGTTGGCCGGCAATTAGGAAGCCTCAGTTCCATTCCTTCCCTCTCCGTTTTCTTTTCGTCCTATGTCTTATGAACTCCCCCCCCCCCTCTCCCCCGGGGCTATTATGTTTTGGAAAATAGATACAACTAATTCAACGACCGGAAAAAAAATCTGAGCCCGAGAGAGGGAAACGTCCACCCAAAGGCAGGCAGAATATTCCATGGGGGAAAGCACACGCGTTCGCGCTGTGCGCACATGCCACCGACAGCTACGGACCACAGCAGATTTTTATTATATTGGGTTGTAACATATATTCCCGCCGTTTTTATATTTTGTTTGTTTTCACTCCATATTTTTGAAGTTTGGGAAAGTGGATATAGTCATTCGAAAGAGCGTTCTTTCCTCTACAAACTTATTGCCACCATTTTTCCGAATAACTTAATTTTACTTAACTTTCAGGAATTTGAAATGGAAATACCAGGCGGCAAGAAAACAGAATGACTATATCCACTTTGCCAAACTTCAAAAATATGGAGTGAAAACAAACAAAATATAAAAACGGCGGGAATATATGTTACAACCCAATACTAGCAGCCGCTACGTTGGCCGTATAATGTGCAGAAATGTAAAAATGTTCACAAAGATATGAAGCAGTTTGGTTCAAATCAAACATTTAAAATTGTAATCTCTCCTTTCGAATGGTGTGGTTTACACCTTGTAAACCACGTCTCAAATCTAGCATAACGAAGCAATTTTAAAAAGTGGGCAGGACTCAGGGCACACGCTGTAATAATTGTCATCTATTGGGTGATTTACAAAAAAAGTAGATTAAAAGTATACCCAAGTGTTCATGCCCCAGAATGACAGGATTGTAGGCCATGCGTGTGAGGCCACGGATGAGTGACAAACACTCACCACTGCAATCGGCTTCAATGTTTTCGGCCTGGTCTAAGGCCCAGAATTGCAGAGCCTTGTATGCCTGGCGCTTCAGGCCGTGGATGGTATGGCCTATGGCCTTGAATGCCATAGCATCGTAGGTCTCCCGCGAAAGGAGTAAATGTAATCACAATTTTCGGCCTCTTTCAGTTGAAGTAGGCCTGTTCGTTAGGTTTTTGAATAATTGTGCGTCTAGTCTGTATTTTGTGCGCGGCCACACCTCTGATCTCAGTCCGACCAAACTTTGCATGGCTTCCTCATTTGGTCCGGGGGCGGTCATAACCCTATGACCGCCCCCGGACCAAATGAGGAGGCGTTTCGAAGTTCGGACCCCCCCGGGGTACCTTATTTAGTACATATATCGCCGATTCTGTAATACAAACCACCAAAGTAGTCAACGTTTTGGGAGTCAGTACAAAGTTATAGAGGGACCCCATGTTACTAAATAAAATTTACGTTTGTTTGTCTGGAAGGCAAATAAACTCACTAGTTAGTTCTATGAAGTCACCTGAAGAGAAGCGTCACACCAAAGTTCATTCCTTGAAGTCAGGCTCAGGCTTGGAACTGAAATCAGTCTTAGCGTTTAATTCAGAGGATAGAAATACTCCATCTCATAGTCCAGCATCAAATTGCGGTAATACAAAGGAGGTCATCGCCAAAAGAGCGGGAAAAGATTCGTTAAAAATTCAGAAAACACTATTTTCTAAAGATCAAAGTGTATTCCAATAATAAATTTGCATTCATTATTTTTCAGTTTTCATTCGATACTCTGTAGTGAAGGACAAAATTGCCCATGTGACTGCATAATTACTAACCTGATTATTTGAGACGCAATAACATGGCGATATTCTTAAGGATTTCGTATCCATACAAAGGTATATATGCAATTTCCAATGAAAACTCTTGTCATGAATTTCAATGAAAGGTTTGAGTGTACAATCTCAAAGTTGAAATGAAAGTAGTGTGTACCTATATAATTAGGCTACGAGCCCATGCACGCCCATGCAGAAAGGGAACTCTGAATATGCAGCGATGGGAATGATGAGGTGGTATTGTCTCATATGCTAGCAACATTTTCCTGCAGTGCAATGTATTCACGGTATGGCTGAAGTTTTAGTAATGCCATCATTCTCAAAAATTGCTGAGTCCTCACGCCTTGTTTTACCCCAATTAGCACTGCCACAACTATCTGGTGACCATGATGCAGCTAAACGCCTTGGGTCTAGTTGATCGCACTAAATACGACCGCCCGGTATATACTGTTTCGTGTAGTAGACTGGATGGTCGACTGGTCATGCAGCCCCCTCGCTCGACATTTCGAGACAAATATTAAGAAACCATTCCCCTCACAAATTTTAGAGCGAGAGGAAGACGTTACCAATTTAAATTCTGAAAAAATACCGATCTGGAGGCACGAAAGCTGTCTTCTGACAGTGAGGATAAGGAACGATACTTTTATAAATCAGATTTATCTTCTGAATCTCAGCAAGAGTAATGCAATGGAATATACGCAGTTCCTTATTGGGAAACTCAATTCCTCACGTTTCACCAGTTATCTTACCATTGGCTGTTAACATGTATGGTTGAATCAACTGATATTACGAATGGGATCAGAAAGGAGTTGGACATTTTTGTGGTATCCTATCGTTGAAAAAGTCACTACCTTGTTGCTTGAATTGATCTTCATATTGCCTTGCTGAAAACAATAAGAAGTAAAACATTTTATTTTGTATGATTAATAATCTTTTAGGGACGGTAGGAAATTGTTCGGACCTAGTATTCAACCTCTCTTGAGTTTGGGCGCGATATTTTCCTCGACTGATGTTTTTTCAGGCTGCAATCGTTTACGTCTAACCTGTAGTTGTTATATGCGACATACAATTCATGAATTTTAATTTCCTATGTGCATGAAGGCGCTAATTATAGACGTTGTGTGTTCTGATATTCTTTCTCCATTCCTTTATTTCATGTCATGATAATTTTCTCATTTCAGGGTCGCCATGGCGTGGATACTAAAAGTGCAAGACATTATACTGGAAGAGTATCACACTACACTTGAAATTCCTGTGTTCCTCCAGGAACTCATGAAAGAAGAGATCAAACTCATCAGAGCCCGCGAAAAGATTGACAATGACAGAAAGAATGAATTTGCAGAAAAAATTAATCACATCTGCAACATCCTCCTCCAAAAGAACGCAAGGAGAACCGAAGAGAAACTGCGAAGGGTTCTCAGAGCCATAAACAAGCAAGACATCATTGACAAGGCGGATGGGACCCCAGGTGTGTGTATTTTTTTATTGGCAGTCAAAACGAACAAGAGTACGATTTATTGTGGCGACTTGTCAAGGTAGGCATGGCCGATACATTTCGAGAAGCATGCCACGAGAAAGATTTGTCATGCCTCGTCCAAACACAAAGGCAGACTGATATTTGACTCTTGGCGGTGTTGGCTGCCTTCCCAGGCAAGCCTCGAACACAGGACGGCTAAGAGGAGGGAGGAAAGTGCACCGCAGGTCTAGAGTGAAGCGATGTACACTTTCAAGTGGCTTGGACATGGTTGGCAGGATAGGCCACATTCATTTTTTCTCTCTAAATGCAATCTCCATGGTGCCCAGAAAACTCCTCTAAATCATGGCATCCTTAAATCATGTAGAAGAGGGTTACTGCAACCTATCATGGTTTGGAATCGCTTCCTGGGTTAGGAATGCTGAAAGAGAATCACCTTGGAACTTCCGGGAAACAAGTTTGAATGGCAATCGTAGCTATTTACTATTCCAAAAGTACACCAGGAAAATGGATACTTCCTTCAGTTCTGGCTGGTTTTAGTCTTCCGCTCCTTCTCTTCCTCTCAGTTGAAGTGGTTTCTTGTAGATTATGAATCGATCTCTCAATAATATGCCTAAATTTCATTCATCCTTTAGTAGAAAGTTCATGCAAACTTCTGTCCCACCCCATCCTTTCGCAAAGAGGAGCGTTTTCATGGGCAGACAGGAGTTCTAGTCCAAGATTGGTGCGTTCCACGCGCAACATCTGCTCTTGTGCCGAAATGTTATCTTGCCGAACAAAAGTTTTAGTTCCTGTGCTTAAAAGGCTAGATGAAAATAAAAGGAATTTAGGATGCTGGGAAGATTGGTAAAAGTCGTCGGAATAAAACGGTTTGATGCACTATCTGCCATTCCATGAACTTACAATTTCCAAGAGCCACGTGGCGTTCATTTTTCCTCACCCAATATGTTAGATGTACAGGGGCTCCAGTTTTAATTTACTTCCACATTTGGATTATTTCCTCAGTTTTTTTTTTCTAAAGCAAGATATTGCTGGTGATTGGCACAATAATTGGTTATTTTCTCACAAATGGCAGAAGTTATCACTGCATGGAATTGAAATCCATAACTATATATCCTTCTTTGCAGATGCATCAGGAAACAGTGCTTCGGCTGCTCCTGCGCAAGCAGGTATGTGCTAATATCATAGTATTGTCTCAGCCTGAAAATGACATCCTCCTTTGCTAACGGCTCCAGAAGATCTGTGCTAGAAGAGAATATCGTAAACTTAAAATAGAAACGGTTAGTTCAGAAATATGTCCTGGAAAGGGAAGCGATTGTAACTTTTTATTTCCCGGACAGAAGATTGAGAAGTATTTGTATGCTAACGATTTTGCGGCAAAAGTTTAAAAACTGCTGCTGCGCAACACATTTATCGTTGCCAATAAGGACAAGCCCGAAGGCTCTGTTTTAGCCAACTGTTCGGAGGAGCGAGGTTATTGTGGGGTGAATTCGCGTAGAGCCTATCTTTTTGGATGTTAGAAGTCATCACTGCTTTTTTATGGAAGGAATCCAAAAGGATGCCCAAAAGCATCCAGGATGAGTTTGGGCACAATCGCAGAAAAAACAATTATCAAGGTTCCAGTCTGCTAACCTCGGACCGCTGACAGCTGCGGCACCCAGCTCCTTTTAAGAACTTCAGATTAAGGTCACTTTTGACAAAACAAAGAACTACTAGAAATTCCAATTTGCCTTGATATCTCCGAAGCGCTGAGACTGCTTCCAGGATCATTATGCCCTCTACCGATCAGTTCCAGAACGTTTTGAACATTTTCTGTAGTCCCTGGAGATTGTGACATTTGGTATTCTCTTCTCGCAAATGTTTCAGTTCCTTACTGTTCTCACGTTTCACCTGAGATTTGAAAATTATATCGCAATCTTTCTGCCACCAATTTTTTTCTCCTGATGCATAACTTTAATCACCACATATTACTCTTCGAATGTCTTACCCATTAACGGACTTTTAACTTTTCATATGAAAAGGATTGATGAGCACGCTATCATGCACGTCAGACGCCAGGCAGAACATTTGAAGAAGAAAATCTGTTTCACGACATTCTCGATAATGCTGGTGCAATAACTTAAATGGATTTGAAGCAGCTGCCATCCATCCACTTTGAATGGAATATCGGCACTCGTGGTTCCGCAACACCTGGAGAGCACTCCCATATTATTCCTTTTAATTCCAAAGACATTCGTGCTAGAAGCCATTGGCGTTGGCCACCATTTCCTATCAGGGAAGGGTCAACATAGTTTCTTTAATGGAAAGTGTTTACTTGGGATGTGGCACATGTGCTGAAGTAATGAACACACAATCGCTAAATATTGGATATACTTGCTGAAAACTGATTCAAATCGGTAACATATTGGAAATATTAGTTTACAGTCTCAAAACTAGCTCCAGCGTCTGAAAACCGCTTCATTTTCGGTATTAGTCGACCAAATGATAAAAAAAAACTAGGTTTGACGTGTATCAGTTTCATGACGTTCAGAATTGATTTCTTTTTCTTACAAGCGACTTCTAACCCGTACATGAATGCAAGGAATTTTTGTCCTTGCTCATGCCTGAATTCATTCGATTAAGTTCATTTATTTCCCTTACAGAGAAATTCCAGGAGGAGAGCCATCTTCTCCTGAACGCCTTCGGTACGCTTGGCATTTTTCACTCGGACGTCACCATCCTCGACTTCATGAGAATACTTTTTTTTCACTTCTACAGGTGATCTCGGGCCGGAGGAACGACTTCGAATCCTTTACCATTTTGGTGTGTTGAGCGTTTTTTAGCGTTGCGTCTCCGTGTCCAACTTCATTGGATTTAATTCATTTTTCTCGTTCTAGACAAACTCAAGAAGGACGAACGTATTAAAATCCTGGATACCTTTTGTACGTGAGATCTTTTCCTTCCCCGTACGTTCCCATGTCCTACCTCAGGAAATTAATTGTCTTTGTTACTCTTACAGACGATATCCAGCCGGATGAGCGTCTTGAAGTCATTTACCATTTTGGTATGTTTGGCATTTTCTCAGCTGTGCTTCTCCATGCCCGATTTCGTGAGATTAAATCCTTGACTTCCAATTGCAGACAAACTCGAGAAAGACGAGCGTAGGAAAATTCTGGACACCTTTTGTACGTGAGGCCTCGTTTTCCCTTCTGCGGCTCCATGACCGACATCATTAAATTCCATATTTCGTTCCCTTACAGTTGATCTCGGGGATGACCAACGTCTTGAAATCCTTTACCACTTTGGTGTGTTTGGCGTTTATTATTTGCGCGTATCCATGTGAATTATCAGTAGATTATATTCATATGTTTCCCTTGCAGAAAAATTCTCGAAGGACGAGCGTCTTCGATTCCTTGACACTTTTGGTATGTGCAATATTCTTTTTTGCGGTTCGTCTCCATGCTCGTTTTTAAGAAGTCAAATACATAATCCCATCCTGCAGGTGATCTCCGGGCGAACGAGCGTCTTGAAATCCTTTACCACTTTGGTACGTTTTTGGTGTTTTTCGTCCCGTGCGTCTCTATGCCAGATTTTGTTTTAAATTTATTTTTCTTTTTTAGACAAACTCGAGGAGAACGAGCGAAGTCGAATCCTGGATACCTTCTGTACAAAATGCCTTTTATCTCCGCGTGTCTCGCTCACTAACTTCATTAGATGTAATACATTTCTTACTCTTACAGGCGATATCCAAAAGAACGAGCGTCTTGAAGTCCTCCACCACTTCGGTATGTTTGGCGTTCTTTCTCCTCTGCGTCTGCATGCCCCAAACTCATTCCATCAGGGTGAATACATCCGAGTTTGGAAGGTGTTTAAGTTCAAATGCTGTAAATACGTATGTTATCAACATTCTCAAGTTTGGACATTTAAAAAAGGCTGTTATCTTCTCGGTCTGAGATTTTTTTCTCGAAAAGTTTAAGATTTATTTTGAAGACGCGAATGAACACCGGTTTACATAAATAGATCTTCCCTTCCTCCTTTAATTTTCTTTTCTTTCGTATCAATACCTCGTGGATACACAATAACACAATTTTGTCATCTTACAGACAAACTGGAGAAAGGCGAACGCAGTAAAATCCTTGACAGTTTTCGTACGTGAGGACTTTTCTTTCCCTGTGCGACTCTGTGGCAGACCTCATTGAATTCAGTTTATTTCGTTTCCTTACAGGTGATCTCCGGGAGGACGAGCGTCTTGACATACTTTACCACTTTGGTGTGTTTGGCTTTGAATTAATTTTACTTGTCCATGTCTAGTTTAACAGATTAAACGTGTTTTTTATTACTACCAGGCAAATTCGGGAAGGAAGAGCGTCTTCGATTCCTTGACATTTTTTGTATGTGCGGCAATTTTTCCCTTGTGCATCTCTACGCCCGAATTTTGAAATTAAATATGCATGTTTAACTCTTACAGGCGAACTTCTGCCTGAGGAGCGTCTTCGAATCCTTCACCACTTAGGTGCGTTGAGCGTTTTCTCAGCTGTGCATCTTCACGCCCGACTTCATTCAGTTAAATCTATTTCTTCTCCTTACAGATAAACTCGAAGAGGACGAATGTTGTAAAATCCTGGACACCTTTTGTACGCGAGGCCTTTTCCTCCCCTGAGTCTCCTTTGTCGACTTCATTATATTTAATATATATTTCGTTTCCTTACAGTCGATCTTCTAGAGGACGATCGCCTTGAAATACTTTACCACTTTGGTGTGTTTCTTGATTTTTTTTTTCTGATCTGGGTGCTCCTGCCCGATTTCATTGGATTAAATATATACTTATTCCCCTTACAGGTAAATTCAGGAAGGAGGAACGTCGTCGATTCCTTGAGCAGTTTGGTATGTGCGGCATTTTTTCTCAGCAAGTCTCAATGCCCGACTTCAAAGGATGAAATATTTTTTCTTGTCTTATAGGCAAACTCCGACCGGACGAGCGTCTTCGTATCCTTCACCACTTCCGTATGTTTGGCCTTCTATCAGCTGTTGGTCTTCATGCACGGCTTCATTGGACGACATGTATTTCTTCCCCTCCTAGAAAAACTCGAGAAGGACGAGCGTGGTAAAATCCTGGACACCTTTCGTACGTAGGCCATTTCCTTCCCTGTGCGCCTCCGAGGCCAACTGCAGTAGATTCAATATATTTCCTTCATTTACAGGCGATCTCCGGGAGGATGAGCGTATTGAAATCCTTTACCACTTCGGTGTGTTCAGCATTTTTTCAGTTGTGCGTGTCTATGTCCAATTTTAATAGATTAAATATAACCTACTTTGGAGGAATGTGGCCATACAAAATGAGACCTGGTCATAATGACTCATCAAGATAGAATTTGACTTTGTCCTTGTTTCAAAAAGATTGTTATATATCTCTTTTATTCAACCCCGATATGTCACATGGAAAGCATGAGGATAAAAGATAATTGGATTCTGTTATTGGTACCATCAGGTCCTCTTCCATATAATGGGAACATTTGCCATGGCCATCATAATATGGCCATCTTTAAAGGAAAAAATGCGGTGTTTTCATAGTGCGTGTAAAATGCAACGTTGTATATGATGAGCAGCTATGAAAGCTATGAAAAGCAGGATTTAAAATATTTTGGCTGTGTATACCATCGTACGTGATTGGTAGACTATATAGACACTGGGTGTAAGAGGAGTAGTCATCCCATAGATCCTCGTTAACATTCATAGCGCATGTTAACGGGGAAGTTTTATAGTGCGGGAAAAACGTCGCGTAGTGTTGCCTCATGAATGCATTTGTAGTAATAATACCTATAATTAAAATAAACGTACGTATCTTTTTTACGAGGGATATTTCCCTGCAATCAAAATTCGTGCCGCGAAAATTTCTGGAGCAAATTCAATAGGTGTTCATGATTTACTGGATGAGGATCTGACTTACATAGTTGATGCATATGTCAAGTGGAACTCAGTACGTTCGCAACGGATATCCGGCGGATGGGCACAAAATGATCTAGTCCAACATAAAATGAATCTAATCTGCCGATACATTTGTGCGGTCCTCCCATGATTCATGAATTTGTTCATGTTAACCCTAGTTGAAATGGCCATATTCCCCCATGTTGGCCTGCATGACAAAGTTGACACTGTTTACATGACACTGCTTACACAAAGAAAATGAAAGAGCTTGCGCTTTGAAGAGGCATTCTGGATGAACCATAGAATAATTTTGAGGATATGCTTTCTGCATCTGTACTGCTATTAGAAAATAAGCGCTTCTAAAGTTGATAAAGGCTGACACTAATATGCATGAGCTGATCAGTCGCATGCACATACCTCTCAAAATATCGATTTATCTCGTACGAGATCAAACTATATTTTGTATTACAGGAAAATGCATTCCTGTGCGCACTGATATAATGAACTCGATATGACATTTTTTGCAATCGCATGTGCTCTTTGATAACTACTTTTTTTTTATTCGCCCGAACGTATTTAGTCTAGTAGCGGTTACGGGGGGCAATTTGTCCACAAGTTACCTAATTTCTTTGCTTACAGGCAAATTCGGGAAGGACGAACGTCGTCAATTCCTGGACTCCTTTGGTACGTGAGGACTTCTCTTTTCAAGAAGTCTCCTTTGCCCCTTCATTGGAATCAATACAGTATATTTCGTTCCCTAACAGGGGATCTCCGGGAGGAAGAACGTCTTGAAATCCTTTACCACTGTGGTGCGTTTAACTTTTTAAAAATTATTTATGCCTGTCCATGATCGACTTAATTGGATACAATATGGACTGCCAGCACATATTAATTAAATAGGAACACCATACACTGGATCCGTCAAGGTATGCAAATGGTCAATCACTCTCTAACATCCACAATCCTGGTGGTGGAAGACAATAATGGTACGGCCATGTGGTATGAAATGATATATTATTCCTGCTAGCGTCGTTTCGCACTTTGTATCATGGTCAAATGAGGCCAAATGGAGCACTAACTTTTCGAGCGTTCACTTGATTGTATCACGCCACCGGGACGCCAAGTATCGCGGAGTGATAGATGATTTCCTTCCATACCTCGATGGATCTAATAAATGGCCTGAGCTTGGTCGCTGTTACATCGCTCGTTCAAGGTGTTCCTCACTTTTTTGCCAACAGTATATATCTTTCCTTTACAGACAAACTCGAGGAGGACGAGCGTTGTCAAATCCTGGATACTTTTTGTACGTGAGGCCTTTTTCCTTTGCTTATCTCTATGACCGACTTCATTATATTTTTTGTACTCAAATGTATTTATGTCCCTTACAGACAAACTCAGGGAGGAGGAGCGTAGCCGACTTCTTCATATCCTTGGTACGTACGGCGTTTTTACCCCATTTGTGGTCTGTATTGATAGCTTCTGGAAAGGTTACCTGCGAAATCCCAATGATATATCTCACCAGTTCAAGTATGGCTATTGACGTAAAAGCGGATGCACATTGCCCCCTTCTTTCTTAATTCATCTGGGAAGCAGAAATGAAAACGCTTTAGAGCGATGCTAATAATACTGAGGTCAGTTGCGGAGTCCAGCTGTAAACCCCTTGTAAAAAGTTTATTAGCACCAAGTACACGTGGACCTCTTCTCACGACCGGTGCGCAAAAACGGAGAAAAAATTCGGGAGGAAAACCCGTCTAGTTCACAAACCAATGTTTCCGTTTCAGGGTATGGACAACTTTTCTTTCTAGTTGTGCAATTATTTATATCAAGTCTAAATAAACAGATGCAACATCGTTGGTCATAAGTTTCGTTTCCTACGTACATTCGTTTCCTCCTCTGGACGTGAAATTTGGCGGGAAAATACGGAAAAATAACCATTCATGTGGGGTCAGGGGCCAGCCTGTTGATTCTCCTACCCCAAAATGTTTCTCTTCCTGACGTTGATGCAAGTTTCGTCCTTCCCTTCATTGGCCGAATTATGTCTAAGAACAGGTTAGTAAAGCTGAATGAAATTGTATAGTGTATTTAGGGGAGTGCAGTCTTATCCTGTAGGATTTATGAATCAGCAGCTGTGGGATGAATGTGGTACCTGAGAAAAATCTGGAAGTTTTTCTCTTCTATTTTGCCAAATTCATACTGCCAAGAACTATCTTCTAGTGGTCACGTACGAGCTTCGTATGTCTCCTTTTTCTCCTGACTTCATGTTAACTGCACATAATTTCGCTGTCGGGTCTGCTTGCATGGTTCCCAGGTGGCAACTAGAGACTAAAACTCTCTGCCTTTACTAGGGGAGACCGGGGCTGGTGGTAACAGGGTGATAGTTCTACGCCTTTTCACTGTGCGGCGCTGAAGGTACCTACTGTCCACTGAAACTGACTCCCGCCATGTTTAAACAGAATGATGACACGAGGCTGACTGTTGTTAGGAAAATGTTCATACAGTTATTCCAGTCATGTAAGTTACATTTTTCACCATTAGAAAATTTGTGGCGCTTTTCTACGTGTGCAATTTGAGTATATCTATTGTGTATTGTTCAAAGTGGGATGTAATACCTATAGATATATATTTGATAGTCTCTGGAGGCTCACCTTTCCATGGAAGATCTGTTAGCAAACATTTTGTGCGTTGAGTAAGAGGTTGATTGGGTTGTGGTGGGGGGTTGATTATAACAAATTGGAAGGGGCAGGTGTAAGTATTGGTCAAACGAAGTGTGCGCTGCACTCTTGTTGCGCGGCATATACTTGCCACGATCGTGAGAGTGACGATGATGGAGTATAATCTACAGTACTTTTAAATGAAAAATATAAAATTAAATAAGATAGTTGGAAGGTATTCAAGTTAAGGAAAGATGTGACCGAACTCAGGAAAGTTTTACCGTGGACTGCATTTCAATAGCCAATGATTAGCATTAGTAACGTGAATTGCTTCTAAATAGTGAACGAATGTGTTTTCAAATGACGTGGTATAATAGCCCAGATGTCAGCATTTCTATTGATATATAATGTGAGTCAAAAGTCTCTGAACGATTTTGACCAGCTATAATTTCACAAGGAAGGCATTAACCTGTAAACTGTTTTTTTTTTACTTTGGAAAGAGCGTGCGCTAATAAACACATAAAACTTTGAAGAAAAAAATGCATAGATTTACAATAAAAACTACTCAAATTTCTGGGTACGATATTGAACACCAGTCAAACTCGATAACGCGAGCCATCACGGAATGGCAACTCCAGCAATCTTCTCAGTGATGCGTTGCTTCTGTTCATTCATCGTGCGCAATTTTTCGGCATATACCTGGTCCTTAAAGGGACTCCAAAGCCAGTAGTCAGGTGGAGTCAGGTTCGACGACCTGGGTGGCCACTCAATGGGCCCGAACTGGCCTATCCACCTATCCTATCCAAGCACTTGGCCTATCCAAGCAAAACGACCCTTCACTTCGGAAAGATTTCCTTCACGGATGAAGAGTAGATTAAGGATGACGACACGTTCCTCCAAGGAAGGTTCATCGGCATTATCGGAAACCTATTTGAAACAGCAAAAATAAAGTAATTGCGAATGAGGCGTCCAGTGTAATTTATCACTTTCACGCTACAAATGTTACTTTTCGTTTTGTGCAGGCTCATCTCATGTTATATTTGTATTTAATGGAAATTTCCAGGTTGTTTCGTCAATTACCGCCTGCTCTTTCATATGCAATAACATCCGCCTGCAAATGAATGACACACTTTCTGAGTTATAGCTGTTCAAAGTTGTCCAGTGACTTTTGACTCATTTTGACTCACCATGTATGATAGAGAGTTCAACTCCTATTAGTATCACATCGAGCGAGTTATTTCTGGAAAAGGTGACGACCAGCCTCGGTCTCTCCTACCTATCCTTTAAAACAAGGAATTAGTATGGAATCGAATGTTTATTTTAACATCTCATTCACTTTTCTTAGGACCCGCCTTATTACCAGAGTTGGATGAGAATCATCAAGGCACCCGACTGGTTGAACTCAGCCCAGGCAGTGATGAATTCAGAGACGTTGCGAATCATATGCAAGGAACGATCAGAGAGCACAAGGGGAACATTGGAGGCATATTTGAACAGTACGACATTATCAAGGTACCCATCCACCTAGTCCAGTTTCTACTTCTGATAGTTACAGATTTCATTCAAACCCTGCACTTCTGAATAATACAGATTGAAAAGATTGACAACTCAAGGTTGTGGTCCAATTACACTCATCGAAAGAGTGCAGTAGCTGGGGAAAACGGAGGCGATGCAAATGAAGAAATCCTGTTTCACGGTTCCCCATTTATCAGAGAAATAATCCATAGTGGGTTTGATCAATGTAGTTCAACACTGGAATCCATGCTTGGAGCAGGTATTTTGAACTTTATCCATCGTCTATTGTACTTGCACGCTTCCATCAATACTTATGTCGAGACGATAACCTGCTCTTTCTGTCTCTGTTCTAACAGGGATCTACTTTGCGGACATCTCTTCAAAAAGCAACCAGCATGTGTATGGGAAAACAGGCTGTCCGTCGCATGGTGTGCGTTCCTGCTATGAATGCACTAGGTGTGCTTCCCAATTCTATTGTTTTTCCAAGTCTAAAGGGAATGAAACGCGATTAAGGGTCAGGAACCAGTTATAGCCACTCCTATGGCCACTTTATGAAGTTAGCCGCCATTTTTTGCTACTGAAGCAAAATAGACTAAAAAGTGCACTCTGGTTCACGTCTCGGTTTATTTCATTTCTTAACATTTCAATTTCACATATTGAAGTAGCTCCTCTTAAAAGAAAAAATCAGATATATGATTGCCACTGCAATTTTCCTGTCTGCTGTAGGACATGTACTTAGGGATGTACTTGCCTTTGCCCTCAAGGTTATGCTGGCAAATCTGATTCATTGCAGATGTGGTCCCATATGGGGCTCATTTGGTCCACGTATTTATAATGTTTGAATGAGGAATAAATCTGATGTATTACCTTTCCATGATTTTATTTAAGGTGGCCATCGGAATTGCTTTTACCAAAGTTCATATGATTTTTTGGCGAAAGAAAATATTAATTTTTGTGAAAAGAATAACATCATCGATAACTTAAGTCACTTTATTCTGAATATAGGCAGATGCTCCAAAGCCGTGTGACTCTGGGAAAGCCGCACTGTACTCTGAATCCAAAGAAGTTGACAAATCCCCCTGCAGGATACCACTCCGTGATTGGAGTACCTGCTGTTGGGGGCCTCCAATTCCACGAATATATTATCTATCGTTGTGAACAGGTTTGTTCCACATATCACGAGTTCCATTGCCATGCATGCAGGAATGAGTCAAGCTATTCACATTCAAATGTTTTTTTTGCCTTGCAGGCCTATCCTGAGTACTTGATAACCTACAAGATCGGGAATCCAAAAAAGAAAAAGGTGAAATCAACATGATTTTCCTACATGTTAAGAAACCCTGTCAATTTAGCACTCATGGAGTGAAAGTGATCAAATTTCGCATAACCCATGGCATTTAAGCTGGTTCATGATGCGACAGGTAATAAATTGAACACCAATTTCTTAAATAAAAGCTTATTTTATTATTCCCACTAATGAAAAAGCCTATGCGCGCGCGAGCAAAAATAAGTAGACTCAGAACATTTCGTGCATGACTTTCTGCTCTCTTTTCCTCAGTTTCACTGTTCCTGGGAGCAGCCTGGGAAGCAGCATTTTGTGAACGTCGTCGTGCACTTTTTATCCACTGCCTGTCTCCAGAACTTTATTCGTTCTCTCACTTTCAGTATATCCCTTCGCAAAATAGTGTAAATTTCCCTACCTTTTCGGGATATTTCCAAAACACCAAAATTTAAAAAAATTATAATAATGGAGCACTACTTCAATTCTGCAGACTTACGGGAAGCACTGTCTTAAAGGAGCGATGGGATTCATAATGCGAAAAAAGATGACATATGGTCATTGCCAGCAGTTACCATAGCAACAACTTCCCTGTCGACAGTGCCTCGTACTCTTTACGGTTGTGAGCACTTCGCCCTGGAAGGCATTCAGTACTATGCTAATCTTATTACAGAAATTAGGCTCCATGACGTCAAGATGGTTGAGTATCTTGAGATTTTGACACGATAGCAATCACCATCTGGTTATAGGCTTTAGATTGACACTCATGGCATAAAAGTGAGACACACCGAACGAATTTGGAACCCTCAGGAATCAGATGGAGGAAGGGAGGATGGTCCCTCTCATCAGAGATTCTTACTATCCCCTTAGTAACAATATCCAATAAGTTCCTTCTTGTAGGCATCGAACAACACTGTATTTGGAGGTCCGAACGAAAGCCATTAGCATGATTGAGGCTGGAAAGTTATAGAGGAAGGTTTATATCATTTTTGAATTGCACTTAGGAAGTGTCAGTCGCTGATGAAAACAGCACAAGTCCAAAGAGAGCATCTAATCAAGGGGTCGTCCAATACATCCAAATGTCCTTTCAAACTTAAAAAATTAGCATATGCAAATGTCTCGGGAAAAGAGGCATGTCCAGCAGGAAAGTGACCTCCAGATTAAATCATTTTGGCCAAAAAAGGTATTTCACAACTGTCCAACGTTATTTTTTAAAAATATTTTGGTGTGAAGGCCTACAAGGAGCCCAAGAAGCTTCTCATGGACGCCATGAAGAAGAAGCATCTGAAGTTTTCTGTGGAGTACATATACCGGACTAGTGAAGACTGAAGTTGTGTGGTATGTTCAGATGAGTCTGTGCTACAGCTCTTCCTGCCATTCAACCCACAGTGAGACTGGATCTGGAGCAAAAACTGCGCCTTTTTCCATTCCGTCACCACAGTCAGGCACCCACTACGAATCATTGGATGGGGGATGTTCTATCTTCAGGCTTACTCAGTGCTCCATGTGATCCCACCAAATCAGTTCATGAGCACAATTTGTTATCTAGAGAACATCCTTCAAAAGCCCTGTCTCGATGCCTTTTACAGGATGACCACAGGATAATCATTTCTGTTACAAAAAGGTCAGAAGTCATATTCATACAAGACAATGTCCTTTGTCATCTCTCTGAAGCCACCTCTGCCTTGTGTCAGAATAACCTGGCAGCATTCTGGGGGAAGGGTCAGTGACTCGGCAACATTCCTGACCATTGAAAATCTCATTGAAAATCACTGGCAGATTCTCAAAGAGGAGGTGAGGAAGATGAAACGTGGAACAAGCTGCAAGCAGCTCACTCAGAAACTCAAAAATCCATGGATAAACTTGAATCGAAGAATTGACACGAAAGTGTAGTAAGTATGCCTCAGCAAATGCAGTTGGTTCCCTATACGCAGGGAGATTACATTAGCATATGAATTAATTTAATCACAATCATCAGATGGGTATAATATAAAACTTTCCAGTGTTGCAATACTTTTGACCCATAATGTATAATTAGGGGACTTGAAAGTAGGTGTAAATTCTTTTTAAAATATAAATATATATAAATGGGTTAGGTTTATCTGGCGATAATCAGACATTTGACTTCGACAAGGGACATCATATTCGTCGGTTACGCTTCAAGAGGTCCGTATAAAGCCTTGCACCTTAGGAAAGTCCTACTTTTAAGATTATGTCGTTTAGGCAGATTTTTTTTTCACGCCGACGAATCAGGGAAATTTGGAAAACTGAAACATGGCATGGCATAGAACTAGTGGTAGTTAAATCTGCTGCAAACCGGAGGAAACGAAATGTTCTGTTGTCGTGGTAGGAGTCACCACGAACTTGAGAGACTACCATCCAAGTATACCACGTATAGCACCCAAACGTGTTCAAATAACGTTTCATTGACGGGTACTGTCAACGTTCCATGAAAGTCCATTGGAACATTGTATTCATTGCTTAAATATCTTAAATTTAGAGCGATCAAAAACAGGTCAATTCATGCGTTCCTTGAACTCATGTATGACGAGAATTGGATATTTCAAAGAAAATTAATGGGTTCGTGAAAGTTCTTTTTCAGGCTTCTAATATGCAATTAACGTATTGGAAACGTTCTTTCCTTCACTTACATTGCATCCAGTCTAAGTAAAGCCTCCTCCTGTGGAAAGGGATCAGTGAAGATTATGGAGCCAAATAGTACAGTGTAATCGTCCCTTTTATGGAATAGTCTGGTGGGGAAGCGTGTGGCAGTTATCATTCCACGTCAACCTTCATCATACCCGCAGTAATCTCTTAGTCTAGTCGCAAGTCACGCCCTGCACTGAATCCCTCTCCCGTAGGGTCGCTTTTTAATCATTTGTATCTTTTCCGATTCGCTATTCTCCTGCATGAAGTGACCTTTGAAATTTAACCATCTTCCCACTATCTTTCGAGCCAGAGTTTTCTGGCGACTCTTTGGGTTACCGCGTAAGATCAAATTATTGAAGAATTCAAATATTTTCCCCTCTGGTTTATGAGGAGAAAGATCGGCTATCAAACGACACCTTAACTGAGCTCACAAAAGATGCTCATCCGCGTACATCGGACGTCTAAAAACGAATACAATTTGATAGTTCACTTACTATTTGGGCACGGTCATATGTATAAAGCTCTCATTTAATGTATCTCTCATGTATAAAGCTCTGCAGGTCTCATTTACCCCGTGATTATCCTTGGCACCCGACCCTGTCAATGGAGCATTGTGTCATCAAAGGTGAAGAAAAATAAATCAGTAAATTCCCGGAGCTGAAACAGCAATATGCGCCGATGCCGTGGGTCTTAAGCTCATTTCACGTATCATTTAACATGATACCTCAGCACGTCAATGGATCACAGTGCCCGTAAAGCGAAAAAAGTTTTAAAACTTGAAAGAAGCATACTTCGTGGAGCACACCCACCAATCCTAGCGAAAGTGTTACCCACTGCAATCTACAAGACACCTTCTCAGTGTCTCCACACAAACTCGAGACCGCAGCCACGAGAAATAAACCGAACCAAATGTGGGGAGTCCCAGTCTGAGAAGCATCAACGGCCAGCTTCGCACATAAGCTCATCTGAATAGTGGAAGACAGGGAACATACAGCAAAGAGGAGTCACGACTCGCAGACCGATTTTATATTCAATGCTAGCTTCCCGTCCCATAGAGAATACTAAAAAATTTTTTGTAATCTACCGATGCGACTGCGATACGGGAAAACAATACCTCCTTTGATGAACTTTCGCGCTTCGTATATCATCAAGGACGCTTAAAATCCTTGTAATCCCGGCTGCAAGCGCTAGGCAATGCAGTGAGCGACGCCATCGCTCCCTTGCAAGTAACAAGACAAGGCTCATCTCGTTTATCCGAAAGATGTCGAGACGAGAGTGAAACTGCGATTTTGCATGAAAGTTGCATCCCTCCTTTTCGTGAGGCAGATTTGCAAATTTCATTTTGAAAAGGCACATACTCGGATGCTAAAGAAGAGTTTTGTCGAAACCCTAAGTTTATATCCCGCAGCGTTTGCCCTGTAGAGCTGTCTCATACACACACACAAACACGCACTCAAACACACAATTGTCACTCGACCTAGTTAGCAGGAAAAATCGCGCACGCTATATGTTTAACCTCCGGACCTCGGTTATTTCGCAGCTGAGGTCCTCCGGTTTGAAATATGAAAGGCTGATCATTTAAGGAACCATACTACTACTTCTGAATACACCCGGGAGGAACAAATATTAACCATTTTACTACCAAAGAAACTATAATCGATTAACTATATGGATAGGCCGCGTGGCACTAAAAGGGTTAAGGTTGTTTCGACAAGTAAACTGTATTTTCTCGCAATAAAATGCCTGAAAGTAATAAATTTCTCAACAGAGAATTCTTTGTACTGAAAAACCTTATATTGTGGACCTGCCACCCACCCTCGAGGTCTTCGGGTGTGGGATTCGATAACCTTATGAATCTTCGCTCAAGAAAAATGATTCCCGCAGCTGTGCTGTAAAATATCCAGTACAAAGAACAATTCAAGGGGATACTTGGGAGGATTAAATAATCTGCTCTTGCTGAAGTTTGCTTACAGGCTGGGATTGACTCATAACAAGCAGAATTAACTTTAAGCCACAGTGAAAAATACATATAACCCAAGGAGTTTGATCTCATTGGTGAGCGTGAGAATCAAAACCAGACTGAGGTCTTGGATACCTGTGCTGAAACCGCCCGCGTTTGTCTTGAGTTGCAAAGAGGGAGATTCGCTCGGTGGCTCATTTCTCAACGAGATGGCATTGAGTAGCCATCACAATCCCCAGACCTGAGTCCACTCCACCTTTACCTGTGGGGATAAAGCAACAATGAAGCCTTCGGGACAAGGTAGACGTAGCAAACCTAAAGGGAACGAGTCAACGGGCAATTTGAAGCATTTCACAGGAAGTACTGAAGCCAGCAGTACAAATCCTCTCTAGACGTCTTTAAGTCTGTTCTGCGGCTAGAGGTGCACAATTCGAACTTGTTTCCCACTATGATGATTTTTTTAAAGGTTTCTCAGCGATTGTTCTTGTTTAAAGTGAATGCTCATCATAATAAAGACGTTGTGGCAATTCAAAATAAGAAGCATTTTTGTGAAACACCCTGTATAAACATAAGGAATAACAATGTGTGGAATTATTCCCTGCTAGCATATGTTTACATCTGTTTCACTTTCATCTGTAAGGAAATGGGGTTCTAATATCATTGAATCCCGTATAACTAGAGAGAAATGATGTGCTGGTGTACTGGCAAGTTGCTACGCGTTCGTCTCCAGTTCCGTTGGCAAACACTGATTAGATAAAAACGCGCAATTTCCCTATGCAGTTGTGTGCAAAGTACGTCAGCTATGGCTTTGTGTGAGACTGAGGTAAGTTGTACTTTATTCCTTGTTATTGCTAACATTTAGTATCGACTAAGTCGAATCTGAATCCCATACTATAAATAGCTATAGCTTTGTTTACGACCAATATGCTTTGCGATCATGAGATTAGCCATTGTCATCGAGAACTCCTTAGGATACTAAGAATGCAAGACACCTTGGAAAATATTTATGAACATTTATGAACATTTACGAACAAGAAATACATAACAAGAGCTACACATATCCACCCATACTTCAATGATGATTTCCTTATAAACCACCCTCATGAAACCCTACGACCAAGTATATTGCTGATACGTTTAAAAAGTAGGCATTATGCGCATGAGAGGGATATCTCATGGTCAACAGGTTTCTTGATCTTAGACTGCTATATTTTGTTATGGGGTATTCTTAAAGAAAAGATGTTCTCCATAAAATAACACATCATTGATAGACTCAAACGTTCGGCGGTTACAGCACTCAAAGACAAAACACGCAAAACTTTAGACAATGTTATTGAAAACACTGTTGTATCTTCCAAAGATATTATTCAAAGGAATAGTGAATAGTTTGAACATGTTTCTCAACATAAGAAGACCCGAGTTCATCTATCATATAACATGTAATTTAATTATCTACCATGATATATAATTAAAATATAGGTCAAGGAAGGGGAAAACTTATTCCTCACCCTGTATATTATGCGTTCACAGAAAGGCTTACATTGTAATATACCTTTCCAAATATAATCCAATGGTGGGGTATCCTCTTGTGAGGAAGAGAAAATTACCCTTTATAGCCTTATCAGAGACAGACTTAACTATGGCCCTAGTCTGATTGAATTTGTGACCTCTGTGAAGGGAACGAGACAATAATTTGGTATGGTGAGATGGGATCCAAAAAAAGGCCTTCGGGTTCGGGATTTCTTTGGACGAACGTCTTCTCCTTCCCTTGCTTACTCTGCTCAGGTTTTAATGCTCACAGCTCATGTCCGCATTGAGATGGATTTTTCAAATAATTAACACTTCTCAAACTACAGATCAGCATAATTTATCATTGAAATGGGGTTTTCATGAGGACGAAAGTATAAGGCTGAAAATGTATCACACAGGTAAACGGAGCATCATCTATGGTGAGCACATATTTCTCATTTTTTCTGTTAGATGGCATTCATAGAGCATCCTGCAGGTTGTATTTTCTTTCTGAAACATGATGAGACATCAAGATGTTTACAGGTCGAGGGTTTCATTTGCAGTCTTAAGCCTATGTTGGTAATTTCTTCCAACATTACAGGGCAAACGTGCAACTTCTCGCTGATACCTATTTATTTCGATGGATTTTCTTTCTGGACAAGTTGAACAACACTGGCAATCCTTCCTAGAGTCCTTCTTGGGGTTTCATTTGATTTAAGTCACGTTTTCCCCCATCTCAGCGCACATTCTCAGGTGACTCCAATGCAACAAAACACATGAATTCCCTTCTTGAAGACCACATAACGTTTGTCATTGCACCTGTCTATGATCATAGTTAACGAATTGCCTTTCTCGAAAAGGACAATGATTTACCCAACTCAACAAACGTTGAGTTGGGTAAATCATTGTCCTTGCGTTAGACTGGCATCACAGCAGAAATATATTCCTCCATTCATCGCGGAAATTGATTATACAGTATTGGACTAATGGTTATGCAGCAGGAAACCCTAGCTTTGGAAACGTTCCGGGGACAGTTCTAATTTGCTTCCAAGAATTGTTTGAACCCTCAGCAATTGTGGCCGTAAATACGACAGATGCTGTGATTTCTCATTTAAGATAACAGGGGAAGTTACGAAGGGTTTTTGTTTAGTTTAATGTTAAACTAAGTATGCGTCTCTGCAGAATAACCCATCCGTTAATCTTTTCATTACAGGCGGAAGACCAATTGCCGCGAAAGAAGCTGACGCCCAACAAAATAATCACAGTTGGAGAACATCTTAGAAAGTTTGTATTTGGAGAAAGCCCTTCACACAAAGGATATGTTGGAAAAGTGATATTACTCGTCGGTATCACGGGTGCAGGTGAAAGTTGCCAATATATATCAGTCCCTCTCCTAAAGTTTCATAAGACTAACGTGAATTTTGAATTATGAGGTTTATTGGGACGAGTTGTTACGGCGTTTAACTCGATCCATGAAAATGCATGCAGAGGAACGGGCGCTATGTGGGACAATGAAGTAAATTGGACCATGCTCCGAAGGGGCTAGTCATAAAAGTGTCTAAACATTGAGTTTCGTGTCACCACCAGCAATGGTGAAAACCTTCTTTTTACTGCATTCTTTCTACTACTACTTTCTTACTAAATTGTCCTAAGACTACAAGCCCATCTCTCCGCTGCGTGGTGTGCCCCAGGACCGAAGAAAACCTTACGTTATGTTTTTCCTGAAAACAAACTTCTATGTCCATCTGGAATGCATACTGCATTTGGAAGTGCATGAAATCCAAAGGGGTTCAGAATTACATTCCGTCAAGAGGTCTGACCTTTTGGTTTTCCCTTACGGCTGAAAACAACCATCTTTGCTGCTATTACTCGTATGTGAACTTGTATAGCATTTATGTATCAAACAAATTTATCTGCATCCTTCGCTATGCCTGTATATTCCAATGGTCGCGAAATAGTGACACTTGTTCGCTGAAGCTGGAATTTGGTATTTTCTGACCTATTCAGGTGCTGATTTCAGAAAAAATGTATACAGTTTTAATACATGAAACAAATAATTTCGGCTTGTTCCAATCGACACACATCATCCTTACCATGCCCATCAATGTGAAGCTTCTTGCCTCGAGGGGATTTTTCCTGAGGGAATATGTGAAACTCACAGATGTCTATCTGGAGAGAGGGATAGGTGGAGAAGCAGTTCGAAACCACATTCATTCGCGAATGAATGTGGTTTCGAACTGCTTCATTCATTCGCGAAACCACATGCATTCCTCATTATATGGTCCCCAAAAGGCGATTGCACGACAAGATCAAGTGGCCTACCTGTGCAATACAGGGTTATAGCTCTGGTCAAGGAAGTTCATCGTGTTCTGTCGTAACGAGCTGTTTTGGAGTTCTTTAAAGTTTATATTCGCTATTAGTAATACCCGCCCAGAATCACGTGATGAATTACGGTGTAGCATCACCTATATAGCTCATATATACTGCATAGCCGATCGTGACTGAGTGACTGACGCTAATTCTAACCAAGTTCTAGAAAAGTTTGCTCATATATATCTGGGATGAGGATGAATTCCGAAAATTTCAACTTTATTGGTGGACAACCTTAGGGCATAGCATTTGGCTGGGTCTGCTTTTCCAGAGTTATTTTTGCACAAGCGTAAAGAGGAATCGGATACGGCTAAAACTTGGTAAGCACGTAGTTTTACTAATGCTAATTTCAGTCAAAAATATTACTTTTTAGTTAAAACCCCTGAGGGAACATTTTTTGTGCAAATGGCGAATTTTCTCGAATCAATGAAAAAGCGAACTTAAGTAAGTTCAAACTAGGAGCAGAAGTACCCTTTTCAATTTCTAAGTGCAAATACGATTTTTCAAATATGTCTCCATAGGTCATATTATAGAGCGATTTGAAGTTAGGTACGCAAGAAATAATCGGAGTAATTATTCGAATAAAAGTATCGGTTCTTCCCCGCATGGCACATTCCGACAGCCACGTACTCTTCACACGTTTTTGCCACTTCAAAAATGAATTAATTGATAATCAGGTTGCACAATGAGTGCCGAAGCGCGACCATAGCGAGTTGGTTTGCCCCTCTGGCAAAAAAAAACTTACCATTAATAGTACATATGATACGCTGCAAGCTAACCTTTAACAATGCTTTGATGTGAAACGACTTCCTACGCGTGATATCTCAAGCCTACTCTTGCTGATACCTGGTAGCTATGGTTGGGGTACTCGACTGTTGACTAGTTAAGAGCGGCGCTTATAGGTACCATTTTCGTTCGGTGGAAGGATGTCATTGTCAGGTGATGTCACCCATGATCTAAACGGCCCTGCAGTCTTGGGAACCTCAGCCATTACTACTTTTCATTGAAGTTGGCTCTTAATCTACAGGGTGGCCCAGAAGTAATAGGGCAGTTAGTGGTACAATCAGCACTCACTATAATGTTATTATTATTTTATAATTGTATAATCTTATTAATTGATTATTATTATTTTGATTATTAATTGATTATTATTTTAATTTCATAATCACTAATCATAAAGGTTGCAAGTAAAAATAGCAGTGACTGCTGATCATACCACTAACTGCCCTATTACTTCTGGGCCACCCTATATATTGCCTATGTGTACCTTATCTATATTGCCTCTGGAATCATTATTGAACACACTCATTTTTGTGAATAGCTGTCTCAGTGCCAGATAGACACGCCTAGGAACATCCTATCGATGATTAATTTTTGCTGTAGAACGGGAGTCATATTTTCAGAAACAATCATTGTGACGTCAAACTTGGAGATTCTATGAAGCCCAGGGCACTTTTTTGAAATGTTACGGGAGAATAAGGCCCAACATCCTCGCTACTTTCCTAATACTCCTTTTTTATATGCAGGCAAAAGTACTCTGGTGAACTCGTTCGTCAATCACCTCCTAGTGGTGAAATTCCTGGACAATTTCAGATATGAGCTCATCGAGGAAGAGAAGGCCCAAGTGAATAGTCAAACGAAGTTTGTCACATCCTACACCTTCCATACTGTTGATTCTTCTAATGTCAGTGATACAGTCACCATCATTGACACACCTGGTCTTGCTGACACAGATGGCATTGAGGAGGACAAGAAGCTATTCGCAAAAATCAGGAACTTTTTCGAGTCAAAGGATGAATTCAGTATCAATGAGGTTCATCTTATCGGGATTGTTGTTCCCATTTCGAGAATTAGATTGGATGCAACAGAGAAGTATGTGTATAACCAGATCTTATCCTTGTTTGGAAACGATGTAGCTGAGAATGTCTCATTGGTGGTAACACATATGGACGGCAGCAAGGAGCCCAAGCATGCGTTGAATGCGGCTAAAACAGCTGGAATACCTATTTCAGCATGGTATGGTTTCAACAACGCAACCCTTTACGACAAACCGTCTGCGGCCAAAGAAGAGGTTTATTTCCAAGAGCGATCATGGAAGCTAAGGACAGACCAGTGCCATAAGCTAATGAATGATCTAACATCCTCGAAGTGGAAGACAGTGAGTCTAGTTTTGACGAAGGATGTCCTGGAACACAGGTCACGCTTGGAAGAAAATATGAAGAATCTTCAAGAAAAAGTGAAACAAGGTTAGTCCATGTTTCACAGCTGAAGTTCACGTAGATATTCTGATGTTGACTTTCCATGGTATTCTTGAGAACATGCTCCATACACTACAGTATGTGAAACCATATGTGGCGTGTAGCAATGCTAATGTCTTGAATTTTACTCAAGTTTCAACACTAAAAAGAGAAAATTCATGTCAAGTCCCCCCCCATATGCGCCTCTGCATGCGTTTGAGCCTTTTTTCTGTCTCCATTCTTCATTTTGTCTCCTCTCTTCATTCTGCATTCTGAAAACCGATACATGAAATCAAGTGATGAGATATATACAAGGGTTGATCGGGAAATAACAAGACGGACGAACCAGATTTTCCACGACGTCCTCACTGAATTCCATGTCATGTGTGTAATCACTCTCGAACCCTATTTTAACTACAGCATCTGCAATGAAATCACGTCCGTCGAGGTTTCTCTAAGGCTGGGGCTCTCAACCAGTGGTGCCTGCAACCTCTGGAGGTGCGGGCAGAGGTAGGTGTTGGATGCAGGGGGTGCATAGGGAGTAAAATGTTTGGAATGCCTGCTCTAAGGCCTCAACAGACGGAAGTTGCTGGATGCACGACAGGGACTGCGAGGACTTTCCACCTAAACAACTTCAACAACTCCTGTGTCTGGCGTGTGCACGATCATCCTCCATATAGTCCCGATCTCGCACCCAGCAACTTCCATTTGTTGGTGCCTTAGAAGAAATACCTCGGCGGACGTGACTTCACAACAGATGCTGCGGTTCAAGAAACGGTTCAAGAGTGGTTTTGCGCACAGGACACGGATGTCATGGAAAGCTGGTTCTTCGATGGGAAAATTGTCTTAACCTGGGTGGTGACTATGTGGAGAATGTGTGTAAGGCAGGGACTACCACAATAAGGGCGCAACAAGTTCGAAAACAAATGACGTGTTCAACTACAGGCCTTGTCTTGTTACTTTCCGATCACCGCTCGTATATTGGGTAAGTTCAGGGAAAGCGGAAATTGAACAATATAATTTTCCCTTCACCCTGTGGCATTCGTTGTCTACTCAATTCTCTCACAATGCTGCTTCCAATTGTAACTTTAGAGATACAATTTGATGCATGAACTGGAGGCATTACACTGGCAATATAATTGATTTTGTTAAATTGTGTCTTGCGATGGCAAAAGTTTATAAATGTATGTATTTCATAGGTACTGAAAGTCAATATACCTAATTCACGTCTCATTATTGGCAAATACAACTTTAGGAATTCCCGTATATTACATTTCGTGAGATGTTATTTAAATATTGCAGGGTCCATTAAGCTGGTGCATCTGGAACAGCTGTACGAAGAGAAACAGAAATCCGACATAAGAGGGAAGACACATTTGAAGAATGCTTTGCAGGGACTCATGGTTGAATTTGCAAGGGAAATGACACAAATGCACAAGTTGACCATTCAGGCGCATGAATGTCTCAGTAAACTGTATGAAATTGGTCTTCAGAAAAATTCCCCAGATATAGTTGAATACTTGGATCTCCTTACCAAGAGAGAGGAGCTTTCTTCCGAACCTGGCTATGAGAAACGCCTTGAGCATCTTCGTGAGATCAGAGTTGTCGCGAAATACCTGAAAAAAATGCAGTTCGGAGAAGGAGTATTCCCATTTGACAACATGTTGCAAGAACTGGACAAGAAGGGCTTACGACTCATCAAAGCCGAAGACGAGTTTTACATGGAATTACATAAACCACGTTGGTACAAACAAATCATTAAAAGGTTTATGCCTTAAAGAATATTCATTCTCGCTCTCGGAGTTCTTTGAAGCTTCATATATTTATTGATATTTTGACTATTGTGTTTTCTTTGCTTCATCCATTCAGCAATTTCGAGGCATCAATACCTTATGGGTAGTGTTCGTGTTGGAAAAGGCGGGGAAATGTTTTTATGTCCCAGTTCACTGATAGTCGGGCCAGCCACCAATAGCCAATAATGCGCTTGTTGTGTAATGTCTTCACCAAGTTAAGGTCAACTGCCTGGTCCAAAATCATTATTATGTAGTTGAACCACAATGGTTCCACTTGGCGCATCCACAAACAAATAATCCGAAGTCTTTATATCACAAAGCTCCCAGAAAAATTACATGTAATTGTAGGTCTTAGTTTCCTGTGAAACAAAACGAAGGCATTTCCAACCTCAGCAAAGAGTGAACCTAAGAAGGAGGGGCTAGAGTCTTACATAACGTAGGGATGTGATGGAAACCCCTATAGCCACACGTAAATTGCCTCACGTAGCCCGTAGCGCAAAATAAACAACTCAGGCAAAATAGACAGTACCAGCCTGTGTGCCTGAACTACACGCAAGCGAAAGTACACTGTAAAAGTCTTTATAGTGAAGTCATCCAGTAAGTTCCGTGCCTTCCTGATCCACAACCATGATATACTAGGTATCCCCAAAATTTTTTTTACATTTCGAAGGAAAAACTTCATTTCAGGGGGTTTATGAATTTGCTTTTGTAAACATGACATGGTGGGCAGAATTTGGTTCAAAATTTAAACGTTTTGACTTCACACATGTGGATATCGTGTATACATTTTCATGCATTTGCATATTTCAGGAAATATGATTTTTGCATGTGCATTTTACTCTAGTTTTGAATAATTATCATGATATCGTTAATAATGCTAATATCGGGATATGCATGCGCATCACAATGTTAACGCCATTTCCTGATAATTTTGGTATGCATACATGGTTGATATAAGAACAGGGTGCCCAAGCAACCTGTTTTCGTCTAGTGGGCCCTATAGTGTTATTACGCCTACTTAGGGAAGAGTTGAAGAGTCAAAATTTTTAATGGGATGATTAAGTTCCAGTGTGACCCCTTTGAACCATTAAACCCATGGAGGCACGTTAAGGTTATGGGCATCAATATTCCTAGGTGCCAATGTGAAGCGTATGAGAAGAAGCTGAGATCATTTTAATTAGTTGCGGATCCCCACGTGGCCATTGTGGGATATCAAAAACTGATATTAAATTAACAATTTTAGAAATTTAGAATGCTTTCAACACCGGAATATCCACAAGGATGACTATTTCTTATGAGTGTGGGCCGAAGAGAAAATGTATGCAACAAACAAATGTGATTTAGAACAGCTTGTAAAAAGAGTGAGGTGTTCAATTACGTCAAACGGAAGTTTTTTTTCGCTCTGTTGAGAATATGGCGTGGAGTTTATGGTAATGCGCGGAAAATGCAGGACATGATGTGAAAAATGTAATGTTATCAAGTTATCTTCCGAATGGTATTAAATGGTATTAAACTTAATTTCTTATCAACAATTAAACAAAGTTTATTACTAAATTACTTTACAATCGCTCTGTTAATGTTATACCATTCAGTACCGAAGTCAATAAATACGTGGTCCACTCCAAAAGTTCGCGGAATGTTTTTTCTAAAATTAGGGAGAGAGTGAAATTCGAATGCGCTTTCCTCCAAAGTTGACCTTCAACCATCCTTATTCCCTCCCTTAAGGCTTGTGCACACAATTAAGGGTTCCAGCTTTCAGAAAAATTGAATTTGGAAACGAGTTCTAAACTGTACCAATATTACTCACAAATGATCAAAAGGCTCAGAAAAAAAATTCTGCACAGGACCTACTGAACGCCTCTCAGAAAGACCAAGGGTCATTGAGCCCCATTACACAGGGGATGATACTTGGGTGTTTGCCTAAGACCCAAGAACCCAAAGGCAGAATTCACAATGGAAAGGCCTCAAATCTCGGCGTCCCAAGAAATCTCGCATGCAGAAATCAAAATTCAAAGTCATGTTCTTTGCTTTCTATGATTCGAATGGAATCGTGCTTTCAGAATTCGTACCTCCAGATCATACTGTGACCCAACATTTTAAGTGGAAGCTTGAGAAGAATACGAGATGCAATTCTGCCGCCGTCGTCCTAAAAGAGGCTGAGTGTTGACTGGTGCCTCATTCATGACAATGTACCGGATCTTGCAACACCGTCGATCAAACGATTCCTTGCCAACCATCAGGCCAGTGCGTTCAGATACCCCGCTCATTCACCTGATCTGGCATCATGTCACTGCCTTGTATTCTCGAAACCGAAATCTACTTTGGATGGAAATCGTTTTGAAGACATTAATGACATTAAGAAAAACTAGTAGGTAGCCTGTGCAAAAGAACGGAAGTACTTCAAGGCAATAAATGCGGACATGGCCATGGGAAGCGGTCGCCACATCCCCCCCCCCTCCCTCCTGCCTCTTGACTGGCCATGTTAGAAGCCAGGATGCGGCAAAAGCACCCTGATTTCTCGGTCTGCCTCTGCGCTTCGTTAATCGTCATTGCGATGGACAGGGAATGGACGCCGAGCGAAGACGAAGTGCAACCCAAAGATCAAGGTGTTACCTTAAATCGTCGCCTCGTATGACGATGTGGTAATTGGGCTTTTATTGGCGGCCTCACGCTATTCACATCGGGACCCGCGCGCACGTTTCCAAACGTTAATGGCCTTATGCCACGCTGGGTGTATCTGTTACTATGGTTATGGGAGAGCCAATGAACTAAGATATAATTGGATATGACGCACTCATAGGAACAGTATAGGCATGCGTGCTGCAATTGGAAGCCATACTTGTTAGGCTCATGGAACCTAGTCACCATTCATTTCAATGGGATTTCCCCCGATTTTTCAACCCAAATTTCTTCTCAATACTAACTCTTAAGATACAGCCCCGACACAGCAGCCACAATAGATTCTCAGAGGAGCCAGTAAGTCTTTCCAAGACTTTTTTTAATCATGAAAGTAGGTCCAATACTTCAGTTTAGGCTAATGGCAGAAAAGAGTAGTTGGGAATAGGTTTAAGCAAAACGTCGGTGAGTAATGTGCGAAGTGACTCATAGAGTTTAAAGCGGGCCTGCCGTGCGCTTTGACGGAGTAAAGGAGCAGGTACCGCGTGCTTATTAAAGCAGCCCAACTGAATGCGGAAGCATGCCCTGGCATGACCCGCAAACACTTCTACCATGTACCTCATGGTGGCCCTTCGTCTCCTTCAGCGCATGTTTGCCTTTGAACGTTCACTTCGTCAAACGAACTAAAGGTCTTTTTACGTTTGTTTCACTACTTTACCCAGCAGCCGCTCTAACATTATGCGTCTTGCCACCCCCCCCCCACCCCCGAGAGGGGTATTCATGGCTTTTTTTTACTTTTAATGAGTTGCACTCGTATCCAGGATCGATCGTGACCCTGTGCGTACGTCCATATCGTCCCTAAAGTCCATCTCCACCACCCTTCATATAGGTTTAACATTGAAATATACACGTACGCATAGAGAAACGGGATGGTTACGACACCGCCGACGTCTTTTTTACTATCCAATACTAAGCGCTTCTGGACCATACAGGTGAGATCCCGCCGCTTTCACCCTCAGGAGTCACTCTCCTTGTGAGTGCCCATCAATAAGAGGACGGGACTCCGATCAATAAAGGGGTCGGGATCCCGATAAATACTTGCATATAGGCGGAGATCTCATCCTGGCGAGGAAGTCATCCTTCCTCCATAGATGAAAAGGGACTCCAAGTGTAATACGCGGGGACGTTTTACAAGTCCCGCGTATTAAACACGTGTAAAAGCACTGGGACCTAAGGCCACAGGGATGTTATACTATTTCTTGCGCAAACTACGCAGGCTGGCATCGACATTCGGCAGGAAGGTGTATACACTCTGTCGAACCCGGTTGTGGGACTGAAATTGGAGGAATTCCTTTAAGTTGACAAGCATAAGTGGTGCGGTGAATTTGTCTAAGTAATTTGTGAGTGACTAATTTGCGTATTGGTGAATGTTTTCTTCTCTTACAGGAAAATAAAAAAATTATGAGTACACATGCCATTCACTTCCCTTCAGCAGATTCCTCCTCAAAAGTTCCAATACATCTGGTTATGCATATTAGCGGAAGTATGGTTAATGAGTAACTGAAAGAAATCAAGAATTACGGAAGTCATCTATAATATAATCAACTTATATGTTTACGCTGTTATACCCATCAGTTTAACCCTACGCATCGATCCGTGCAATTAACATCTACATTTTTATTTCCATAATGGAATATAATTATCGAGATATGCAGGGTGATTTATGAGAGTGTTACATATACACAGACAGGACTGATGTTAATAGATAATCAAGTTTGAAAGATCATGGGTTTTTCTGGAACTCCTTGCAGCACTGTGTAGACATTAGTAGAGTTAATACTTCCTTTTATGTGAATTTGTTCTTACATTTAACCCTTTTAGTGCCACGAGTACGATGTATCGTCGTTTTCAGCCTACGAATCGGCTGCGTGGCACTATAAGTCTTTAAAAAATGTGTTCGGGATGTTTCTGGCAATGGCTCTTTCGAAACTCACTAAGAGTCCACTTATTTCGCTCCAGTCTTGGTACAAAAAGCGAAGCTCATGTTCCACTAAGTAAGCATATTTCATCATAAAAATATAACTTTTCAAATGCACTCCATGCCATTTTTGTTCCCGATACACAGTATTATGTATAGGAACAACATTTGTGGACACATGCACCAACGACAGGCATTCTAAAACGACCTAGGTATTAGTTCTGACTTTAGCATTGATTACTTTCGTCTCGTTGCACCTGCAGTGCTCTGTTTCCTTGTGTACAGTGATTGTATGCATTCCCTAATTAAATACATCTAGGGGAGTCAAGGCGAGTGAACCTCAGCACTTCGTCGATTGTCTATCAACTTGGGAAGTTTAAAATCCACGAACAAATGTCGTTTTCTGTTGGAGAATGTTGTCACTTTATTTTTGAATATCTCAGGAGTTGAAGCCACATTACCTGTTGGGGGTAGTGTGCTATTTTCAATGGTGTAGTTGGTTCTTTCCTGGAGAAAACTGTTCTCTTCTTGTGATTGGTACAATGGCAAACAACTTTTGAAACTCTGGCATACCCATGATGGTTAGCAATCTCAACGTCGTATGATCAAGCCTGAGGGTGGGACAGATTATGCTATACATGCTCGACGTTTAGTTTCATTTGACTTCAAAAGTATAATGAATTAAAAAGAGGTACCATTTGAGTACATAATGGTATCATCCGTTGGGAAAGATAAGGCAGGTGGCGTGATCTAAAGTCAATAAAACGCTCTCCTGATACGAAAAGAAAAAAAGGAAGCAGTTATACCATCGCAGCGTCCGCCAAATCAAATTATCATTTTTTCTCGTTCAATCACCTGTTGAAGCAATTTACTTGAGTCGTGCCAATTTTAAAGCGTTCAACGAAGAGATGCCGAGAGAACCTTATGGAGCCGCAAAAAGCTTTAGGTGAGTTCCGTTAAGTCTGTGAGGCGGTAGCTACAGTATATGTTTTGAATATACTATACTGAAGTTCTTTGAATTTTTTCGGTCTTAAAACAGCAGTCCACTGTTCTAAATGTTCATTATGACTACCTATTCACATCACTACTGCACCTGGACACATTACTGCATTTCCCTTAATTTAAAATTGTTCATGCATCTATGCATGAAAATAATCAATATACAGCTGAAACTCCCTTCACTCCCCTTCTACCACAGTTACAATATTTTCCAAGGTCAAGTCATGGTATAGAAGTATACATGTGTTGCCCACATTTAATTCCATGTATGCTACGAACCAATGAGATGTTACTTTTTTAAAAATAGTGAGTTAAGGTAGAGCAATCCCGTTTTACTCCCTTTGAAATCCTCGAAGAGTGCAACCTGCGACGCTCTTGAATAGGTCGCGATGTCCATCAGTTTGTCATGCATGATGTTGCTTTATCTTAAGATAACCTTGCTTCGCCATATCACTTCTTTTTCAGAGAAGAAGGTCTTCTAAGGAAATATTGGGCAGGACTCTTAAAAGATATGGATTCAGATGCCGTCTCAGCAAAACTCATTTCAAAAGGACTTCCCTTTGAGTGGCGTGACGGACTCAAGAAGGAGAGGGATCGGAGAGAGGCAATCCTTCACTTCGTACGTATGAGGGGCTCTGATGGTTTCCAGGCCCTTCTTGGCGCTCTTACTGAGATTGGGCAGTCCCACCTCCTGGGATATATAAAAGACAATGATGTCGTGGGGAATGAAGAAGTTTATTGTGAGTTTTGATGAAATTCAGGGTTTCCCAATATGTATCATTAACCAATATTGGAATGAGAACAGTTGCTGGTGCTGATAGATGTAGTGGTAACTAAATCATTACGTTCTTGAGTGTTTCTCAGTTGGTTCCCAGCCGATTCTCTAATACAAAATGGCACCCCAATATGGAAAACCTCTGCGTTGTACGGCACAATACAATATAAAGTGTTAAGGTTGAAGAAGGAGAAAACATTGGAAGAAAGGTTTTTACATAATATCATGTGAATATTGTCGGACAATTTTTCATAAATTTCCATAGATTTCAAATTATTGTGTATTCCCAAGGTATTACCTGTAAGCGTTACTGATTCCCAAAATACACGCACAATCGATGTAAATAATTGGAAACTGCTAGTTATGAACAGAGTTATCCATTCACTAGGAGAAAAATTACAGTAAATTACATTGCAATAAATTACATTTAAATGCATAGACATGCAATTAAAAATGTAATTGGTTGCTTTTTCTCACAGATGAAGCAGTCCCTTCCATTGCAAGGACTCCTTCAGCAACCTTCCATACCCATGACAGGTCATCCCACTCCATTCACAATCTGACGTATGTAAGTGCTCCTGCCATGCATATTTAGTTTTATGGGTTGAAAGTGGGGGTTCTCTAGTTATTATGGTAATGAAATAACAATGTGTTCAAGAGATGACTTATATTATGCTCTACAGCTAATCATATTCAATTTGATACACCTGTATCCCAACAAATGCCCGATGTTGCATTTTCCATTCTAAGAGTAAGAGAATTTCCATTCTCCTCAATACATTTAGAAGTGCGTACTGCCTTTCACCCTTACAAGCTTTCCAGAGGCATTTATCTCCTTCAGCCGCCTTCTTCTCAGACACCTCTTGAGAAGGCATAACCCACAAAATTCATTGGGAGACGCATTGGGAGATTTGACAGATATCTGAAGAGGAAACGGCATGAATATTCGTCATTTCCTTCATATTTTTAAGGAAGTTATTGTTGAAAGCAGAAGCATGACTGGAGGTCGATGCACCTTGATTGACCTTGATGCACCTAAACGAAGATGATGGCATTTTCATGAAGTCTGGGAATATCCTGCCCGTGAAGAGACTTCAATACATCATCCCGATTAAATTAAATGTTCATTTTCAATTTTTGAGACACGTTTCCCAGGGTCCTTCCGCCAATATAGCAATAACTATCAATGTCCCTGAAACTATAGAGAAAAGACTTTCCACTCAACTCGCGGTACTACATCCGAAAATGTTTTTTCAAAAGTAAAGAA